AAGGACGCTTTGGAGACACGGTGGGACCCTCCAGGCGCCTGATTCATATCAAGAAGGACAGCTGTCAGAAAAACTTAGCCCGCCATTTGGCCACTGAGCCCATTTTGGTAACAGCTGAGTCAGTCTCAGGCTTCATGCTCTCATCTCAGATTAGCGTTGTTCTAGCAGGTAGCTTCGTTCACAGGTGCAGCAGGTGAGTTAGGGCCTGTGGGGAATGGATGACAGAGATGTGGAAGACCTTGTGTTTTGGTTTTCATAGCTGAGAAGTAAGTAAGAGGTGGTAAGGATTTGTCTCAGATTCCAAGAGGAGCAGTTATTGAAAAGTTTACAAAACCAAGACAAATTACATTATATGTAGAATATGTATTTAAGCTTCAAATGATATAATTAGATGATAGGGATAGTGTAGACAGCAACATGATGTACTGGCTAGAGCTGTGGACTTAGAGTCTGGAAGACTTGCTTCATGAGACTTACTAGCTAGCTGCATAACCCTGGATTGGTCCTTTCCCCTCGCAGCCTCAGTTTCCTCACCTGTGGAATGGGGATCATAACAGCTTGTCTCCCAGGGTTGTTGGGAAGACCAGATGAGACAGCACTTTGCAAACCTTAAAGAACTGTATAAACATTATTTCATTGATGTAGGGAACTCCCAGGTAAGAAAGGTCCCTTCACCAAAGCAGGTCAGGACCTTCTTTGTAATTTACAGCCTCAGAGAGTTGTGGGGGGTATTGAGCATTGAAGTGACTTTTCCAGGGTCACACAGCCAGCGTGTGACCCCAGGACCCAGGTTTTCCTGACTCCGAGGCCGCTATCACAGCACCACACTGACTGTTTGTATGAGGAAATGTGTTGTTTTAGAATTAGGGCAAGAGGTTATTTTTGACAAAGCAATTATTTAAAAAGCAACAACAAAAAAAAAACCTGCCTCTTCTCAGTGTATGCTTCAGAGGGGAGATATTTGGAAAGAATTGAGCCACTGGTGAGTGAATGGCTGTAAAAACGGCCCTCTCCCCTTTAAAGAAAAGGTCTTTTTTGGGTTTTTTTAGCCTTCAGTGGAAAGCCAGTTAAATGTCCTTTTTTTGGTCAGCATTTCTTATTTGTAAGGGAGCCAAAAGCAGTTACTGGCTTCTTATCAGCCTGGTTGCATTGAAAAATAATTATTCTCAAATAGCTAGGAGGCATAATAGATAGAATACAGGGCCTGGAGTCAAGAAGACCTGAGTTCAAATCCTATCATAGACACGTTTTAGCTGTGTGACCCTGCACAAGTCACTTTACCTCTGTTTGGCTCAGTTTCCCCATCTGTAAAATGGAGATGATAATAGCACCTACCTCCCAGGGTTGTGGTGAGAATGAAGTGAGATAATAATTATAAAGTGCTTAGCACAGTGCCTAGCACACAGTAGGTGCTATATAAATGGTTGTTGTTTTTTAAGTACAACTAAATTCTTCTCCATTTTAGCCTTGGTCATTAAGCTGTCAGATCAGTGCAGAATAGCCTCAGATTGTGATCCCCCACTGTCTCCTTGATTCAGACTGGCAACACTTATTAATACAGACCTTGGTCTAGTTCCTTGATTTCTCCAATCTGTCAGAGGAAGAGTGGGGGGTTCAGAAGCCTCGGGCCATGTCAGCCCAGAGGGCTTGGGTGAGCTGGGCCTTTCCCGGGCTCTCTCTTGCTCCTGTACCTGTACAAGCAGGCATCGCTAGCCAGCTAGTCAAACACACACCAGCCTCAACAGCAAACAGGGAGTCCCTGCCCGGGACATACCAGTATGTGTAATACACCCACCTCTTTTGTCCCGTGATGCTGTGGAAAGTGCATGGGCCTGGGGGACAGGAGGGCACCCTCTCTCTCTCTCTCTCTCCTTCTCCCTCCTGGGATCCTGGATCTATAGCCAAGAGGGACCTCAGAGGTCATCACATACAACCTCCTGATTTTACAGATGGGGAAACTGAGGCCCAGGGAGCTGCAATGATTTCAGATCTCAGGGTCTTATGAGCTAGAAGGGACCTCAGAGACCACTGAGTCTAACCCTTGATTTTACAGATAGGGAAACTGAGGACCCCAGGAGCGGAAGTGACGTAGGATCCCACATCAGGAGCTGGAAGGGCCCCATTGACAGGCTTTGGCAGTAGTCCAAGTGAGGGGCTGCATAAAGGCCTGAACTGGGCCTCACATTAAAGAAACAAAGAAGGGCTCAGGTGGTTTCTCACAGGTTACACTTTGTGTCTGTGTTGGGTTTCTTATTGTTCAAATGAGCGGATGTAGGTCACAAGTGTGATAGGTTGAGACTCTTCCTAGGATTTGGGTCATGCGGTATGCGGCCCTAAATCTGACACAGGAGATTAATCCCATAAGGACCGACGGCCCTGTGAGGCTGCCTAGATGTCAGAACCCATTGGCGTGAGGCGCCCTGGGCCCCAGAACACAGGCCTCTTTCAAGACTGTGCTCCAGGTGATAACCTGAAAGCCGAAACACTTTACCCTTTTCAAGGAGGGAGTAAACAAAGTCCTGGCAGCAGGGGATCACTTTCTTTTCTGTTACCCTTGGCAAAGGAGCCCTGCAAAAGATAAAAGAAGCTTTTATTAGAGATCATGGAAGGAGAAATAGGGAAACTCATAGAGTGGATTGCCAGACAGGTCAATAGTTGAACAGATAAAAACATGTTAACCTCCATTTCCCTGATAGATTCAAACTCATCATCTTCTGAGGAATAATAGGGAACTTCATTGATTTAAAGTCTGTGACCATTTTGCATTTTGTCATAAGCCTTGTCATTCCAAGCCTTCGATTCTTCATTCTTTGACTTTTTGTCCCTTGTGCCTAGAACAGTGCCTGGCACATAGTAGGTGTTTAATAAATGCTTATTTTTTTTTAAGTTGCCCATTCACTGCCACCCTACTTCCTTGTACAGGCCTGAAAGGCCTGTATTTGGCAATGGCAGAGTACATATGATTTTGTATGTATGTGACCCCATACAATGGTCAAGAGGAATCACAAGAATCATTGGTCAACCTTTTGGGAAGAGCCATTTTGTTCTGCCTTTGCATAGGCAAGCCATGGTGACTGCATTCTCCCGAGCAGAATGTCTTTAAGTTCAGTGGTTGGCAAACATAACTCTTTGCTACTTAAATTGTTGCTACGCTTTTTCTGCCTACGTAAGTTTCCTTCAAAAAGGGAGTTTTTAATCTGGGGTGCATGGGCTTGGGAGTCTGTGGATAGATTTAAAGGGGTCTGTAACCTTGGATAGGAAACAATTCTATCATGATTGTTTAGCTGTTTCAGTCATGACCCCATTGGGGTTTTCTTGGCAGAAATACTGGAGTGGTTGGCCATTTCCTTCTCTAGTGCATTTTACAGATGAGGCAAACAGAGTGAAGTGATTTGGCCAAGGTCACACAGATAGTAAATGTCTGAGGCTGGATTTCAACTCAGGTCTTTTGGTCTTCAGACCTGGCACTCTATCCACTGTGCCACCTAGCTGCCCAATCTTTGGTTACCTTGACTTTTTTTTTTGCATTTAAAAACATTGTTAGGAGAAGGGGTCTCTAGGCTTTACCTACAACACAAAAAAGGTGTGAATTCCTGTTTTAAAGAAGGACCAGGACCACTAGGGAGCAAAAAGCAGTATCCTTGGGAAGAATAGAAACATCGCTACTGCCAGAGTTCATGGGAAGGAAGAGTTTCATGGGAAGAGTCCATCTGAGCCAATTCCCTGTACACATTTTCAGAGGGATGTAGACAGCCAATAGGGAATCCACTGGAGGAAGAATGGTCTGGAACCATGTAATGGGGAATAAGACTGTCTGGGAAAGTGGGAGAAGTTTTCTCCTGCCTGGCTTTATAGGAATGGGTCTGGTTAGATTAGTTTACATTAGAGGAAAGAAAGCCAACTTGGATGGGGATTAGCCGTGCCAATTGACTTGACCACCATTGTTGAGTTGACCATGACTTAAATTAGCTGCCCTCAAATGGTGTCAATAGATGTCTGAGACTTCAGATTTTTAAGGATGGCTTCTTTGCTCGTAGACCTGACCTACATCTGCATCTCTTTTTCTTACACTGTACAGGCTCAACATAAAATTGGAAATATTTTAGGTAACTATTTATGTCAGTGCAGGAAAATAGACTCTACTTATCCTTTTGGTATTCATATTAAGAGAGGCAGTGTTGTCTCATGAGTAGAGAGTTGGCCTTGAAGCCACTAGAACCTGGGTTCAAGTCCTGCCTATGACACATACCAATTGTGTGATCCTGAACAAGTCACTTGACCTTCCAGTGCCCTACACAACTCTCTAAGATGATAAGTTTCAGAGAGATGCCTGCTTGCATTGGTAGAGGGAATTTCGTCACCTGGGAGTTACCCATCACAGGTGTCCTTGTCCCCCTCTTCTACTTATATCCAGTTGTCAAACTGAAACGTGCCTTATCTTCTGTTTCCTATGGACTATGTAAATCAAAACATTATAATATCACTTCTCTCCTTTACATCCCGGTTATTTGGAACACTCAAGTGTGAATATCTTTTCAGTATTCAAAAGATGTCTGGAAATAGGGGAAATCACTGGACTTGATCATTGCTTGGTTTTTTCGAAAGGCATTCCTTGGAATTAGAGAAGGTGCTTTACAATTTTGGTCTTGGTAATATTTTGGGGGGGAAATGAAAAGGGACTTAGCCCCACTAGGGGTAACGCCTGGCTCATCTGATCATCTTCTTGAGAAGGAGAGCCTGAGAATCCTCCTCCCCACCCCCAAAATTCCAGGGAGCTCTCCAAGGTGCTGATTGGACTCCAGTGGAATGGGAGATCCTTAGGGAATGATTAACTCTTGAAGTAGTAAAGTGGAATTCCACCAATGTCTTCTGTTTTTGGATTGCTGCCATTCTTTATTTATGTTTGTTGCCATTTCTTCTCTGGGTTCCACGTGTCCTACTTTGTAAATGACGTCAGCTTTTGTTTCTTTCTTTTGTTTTCCTTTCTCCTTTTCCTCTAGATCTATCAGGTTCAAAAGGTAGGCTTTGCTTGAGCATCGCTTTTCTGACCTGCATGTCCCTTCTGTTCCTTGCTAAGGCCCTGAACACCTTTCAGAAATAACTTCCTTAACTCAAGACACGCAGAAGTTGACTGCTGAATGTGTGAGTTGGTTTGAGCCAGGGGCCCCCAGTCTGGGACTGTTTTATTTTATAAAATAATGGCAGAGATTTCTTTGGTATCGTTCTCATGATTCTCAAGACAGTTATGAAAGGTAAGTAGGGCAGCTCTTACTGTTGCCATTTTACAAGTGAGAAACTGAGGCTGGTGGACTGAAAAATATGCCCAAAGCCATTCTACTAGTGCTTAGCCAGGCTGAGACTCAGGCTTGGTTATTTGGGGGGGGGGGGTTCCCTAGCAGTCTAATGCCCATCCTATTGCTTTAGGCTCTTTCCTGGAAGACATTTCTGAATATTGAATCCTTTTGTAAAAATTGATTTTCACCATAAAATTGAGAATTCATAGCTCATAACCTCATACTTACCACAGCAAAACTTATAAAAATCATACATTTAATAACATAATATTTGGTGAAAAACTGTCACCAAATAGGAATGGTGAGAAGTCCGATGATAGTTCTATCTTATATCCTGCCTTAAGGAGAAGGGGAAAACTAAACCCGGCACCTCAGAGTCTAAAGGGTCCATGGCCTAGAGGCCCCAGAACAGACCATGGCCTAAAGGAGCCAGAAGGGACCGTGGCACAGGCCAGGACAGAAGCCCCTTCTTACCTCCTCCCAGACAATGAGTATCCAACCTCTGCTTTAAGACGTCCATTCACAGAGGGAACCCACTTCCTCCTGATGCCTTCTGACCCTCTTTGGACAACTCTTTCTATAAGAAAATTTCTCCTCGTGTCAAGGTGAAATCTGCCCCTTGCTTCTTCACAGCACTCCCCAGATATTTGAAGACAGCATTCATATCCCTCCCCAAGCCTTCCCTTTTCCAGGCCAAGCATTCCCAATTTCATAAACTGATTTTGGGGCACAGTTTCCAGACCCCTCATGAGCCTGGGTACCCCTCCAGGGACCCTTCAGGTTATTAACATCTTTCCTAAGATACGGCCCCATGTAGTGAGCGCTGCACATTTTCTTACCAGGGAAGAATATGGCAGAACAGTTACATCCCTCAGTCTGGATGTTCTTCTGCTGTTAAATAACAGCCTAAACTTTCATTTGCTTTTCTGGCTTCCGTAACACTGCTGACTCACACTGAGTTTACATCCTGTATGAGTACAATTGATTTTTTGAACCCAAGGGTAATATTTTACATTTATTCTTGTTAAATTCCTTTGTGTTAGATTCCACTCAGTGTTCTCATCTGCTTCGTTGATTTTTTTTGTTTCCCAGTTTTATCATTCATTTTATTGGTTATGCCTCTCAGTGTCATCCACAAATTTAATAAGTCTGCCATCTCTACTTTATCCAAGTTGTTGATACAAATATTAAACAGAGTAGGGCCGAGATCAGATCCTTGTGGCACTCTGCTAAAGACCTGCCTTCAGGATGACATACATCAGTCCGCTAATCAACACTTCTGGTTTGATCATTCAGCCGGTTCCAAATTCACCTAACTGTGCTGTGCTTTAGGCCATCGGTATCAAAGACGAGGCTTAAAACAACTGGGAAACATTTAACGAAAGAAAATTACAATGAAACAGAGATCATGTTACATTCTAAAACCACGCCAACATGCAGCCTCCAAGGATCCTTACGTAGGGACTGATGGGCCTGAGTTGATACTGACTGAGGCCACTTCCCTGAATCTTCTCCCAAGGATGTCGTGAGAGCCTGACGAATGACTGCCTTGCTGGAATCCTGGTGAACTCTCTGTAAGGCATTCCTTGGGTCAATAGTCTGGCAACCCTGTCCAAAGAGGCACTGAAGTTAGCCTGGAATGCTTGGTTCTGCATCCGTACATGCTGATCAGTAGCTATCACTCCTTCCTTTTGTAGTGAAAAGAAAGCTGAATTTGGATTTAGTGACCCGGTTTCAAATTGCAGCTCTACTGCATAATACCTGTGTGACCTGGGCCACAGCAGTGACACAATCAGTGTGTCTAGCAGATTAGTGAGCTGGAAGGGACCCAGAGATTACATCTCCTTCATTTTGGCGAATGAGGAACCTCAGGCAAAGGAATGTGGAATGACTGTCCCAAGGTCACACGTTGTGGTAGTAAGTGTCAGAGCCAGGATGCAAACCTAAGGCCTCTGATTCCAAAGTCACTTTACTACTCTGGGCCTAAGGGGGGATGTTCACCAAATGATTGCCAAGGTGCCTCCCAGTTTTAACACCCATGATCTGATTTGGTCAGGAACTGAAGCCAGACTTAGCAGGGGATCCTTTGAAAAAGCCAGCCTCTTCTTTTATTTTTGACCCTCCCCTTCCCTGCGGTGCTTCACATGCTCACCCACCAATACAGCATCGTTGATCTCAGCTCCAAGTTTTCTTTAAGTCCGTTGGGATGGTGGCAAAGCTGAGCAGATGCACTTACAGGCTGCAGGATGAACCTGTCAGCCCTGTTTCCTACCCTTCCGCCGTTGCATATTCAGGAAATAGCTGGAAGAATGATAAGGGCTTTCAGTGACTGCCTCAACCCTGACTCCTCCCATTCTGTGAACCCCAAAGACCTCTAGAGATGAAGAGGCTGAGCTGGCCTCCTCTGGGAGGAGACCCGGAGAGAGAACCCAGCCAGTGATCCCAACGTTACCCACAATGAAGTCATGGGTGAGTTCATTCACTGAGGCCCAGGCTTGAGAAGATGGGCATGTTCAGGCGAAAAGGCTGAGTCACGCTCCTCATTTAGAACTCAGTCACGGTCCATTTCATTGCCTTTCTGCATAGGGGTGTTTTCCTGTGGTTTGTCGGATTGGGGATTTAAAAAAACTTTTCATTTATCCTCAATTAAAGCACATAAACAATCTGACCCACCCAAAGTCAGTCACGGGATCACAGGGACCCTCGAGGGGATGGAGCCCAACTCCCTCATTTTACGTAGGAGAAGACTGAGGCCTGCAGCGCTGAGGTGACGTCTGGGTAGTGAGGGGTGAGGCCACATCTTAGTCATAGAGTTCCTGGATTTCTACGTGGACAGAACCTTAGAGATCATCTAGTCCAAGGCCTCCATTTCACAGATGAGGAAAGTGAGGCCAGAGAAGGGAAGTGACTTACCCAAAGTCGCAGAATGATCCTGTATCGGAGGAGGGATTCGAACCCAGGCCTTCCAGGCTCCCATGCCCAGCATCAATCATTCTAATGTCCATCCATAATCGGGTCTCTTAAACCTAGAGAGGGTGCAAGACCTTCCCGTGGTGCCACAGACCCACAACCATCCCCTCGGACACATGGTTCTTGGACCCGCAGACAGAATGGTAACTGGGGTAGTTGCCAAGTAGAGAGTAGATTTTGGAATTGGTCGTTTTGAGGATAAAAGACATTCTCCATTGTCCCTCTCACGATGAAGGTCTTCTGTAGGCGGCGGCCCCTCGGCAGGCTGGCTTATCGATTGCTGCCTTTTTGCCTTCAGTCCAGTTAAAGCTCTTCCTGAAAGTTGGTCCCCTTGGTCTCCCTCTGGGCTCGCCTCCCACTGCATGCCTTGCCTGTAGCACTGCTAACACCAGGATGGGCTCTTTCTGGAGCTTGGGCTGCTGCTGCTGCTGCTGCTAACATCCGACCTCCCAGGCCCAGGTGGGGGGGGAGGGGGACGGGCACCATAGAGCTTCCTGCTACTTCCCTGCTATGTCCTGGACTTGGTAGCCCTGGGGCCTGGTGGCTGGAGGGCAGGTCAGCAGGCAGATGCCCCTGAGAATGATTAGCATATGCAAATGGGACTGGTCTGGACCTCAGCTTCTCTAATTAAATACTTCCTGCAGTGACTCTGCAATCTTTTGAAAGGTTATCTACAAAAAAAAGAGAGAGAGGGGGCAGCAGAAAACAGTACATAAAAGCATGTGAGGAGTTATCCTGCGTATTTCCCCTTTTTGTCTTCTTTGCATCTGGATGACTCTAGTTGTTCATAAATTGTTGATAACCTGCCAGAGCAGGTTTTTCTTGGGTTTTTTTTTTAATGATTTCTTTCTATTGTTAGAATTGGCAATTCATTACAGATCAAGGATCAGTGTTAGAGCTGAAGGGAAAGGAATAAACATTTTTAAAGCGCCTATGGCATGCCAGGTATTGGGCTAAGTGCTTACAAATATCTCTTGTAAGTGCTGTCATGATCCCCATTTTATGGTTGGGGAAACTGAGGCAAACCGCTTCAGTGACTAGAGCTTGGAGGGACCTCTGAAGACCTAGACTTAGCCCTCCTAGCTCAGCACTATCCACCTAATGCTGGAAGGAACTCAAGAGGCCTTCTTGTCTAGCCCCCTTATTTTACAGAGGAAGAAACTGAGGCCCAGAGAGTTTAGCTGGCTCTCCCAGGGTCACACAGCCTTTCTTCTAATAACCTCTAACTCCCTTCAGGCTGTTATCTCCTATTATCTTTACAAGGACCATGGGAGAGCTGGCAGGGCCACAGATAAACCTCCTTTACCTATGTGTAACCTGCACCCCTGGGCAGGAAAGTAATTGACTCTCCCAACTGTCAGCAGATCAGGGCAGAGACAACGGGGTCTTTGCACCCCTCTCTTTTGGTGGAGCCACTACAATCCACTGCCCCTGTTCCCCAGGACCACCACTCTCTGCCCCCCAGGACCACCACTCTCTGCCCCCCCGACCACCACTTTCTGTCCCCCCCAGACCACCACTCTCTGCCCCCCCCAGGACCACCACTTTCTGTCCCCTCCAAGACCGCCACTCTCTGCCCCCCCAAGACCACCACTCTGTGCCCTCACCAGGACTGCCACTCCCCTACCCTCCCCAGGACCACCACTGACTGCCCTCACCAGGACCACTACTCTCCCACCCCCTCAGGACTACCACTCTTTGGCCCCCCAATTATTTGCTCCAGGAGTGGGCTGTGTTTGTCTTCAATGTAGGTGGATTTGGGCAGAGGCAGGCCTTGGCCCTAGGACTTTTCCTCTGTTCTCCCTCCTTGTGTATTTTTAAATCCCATTTACATCACCCTGCTGGCTTCTTCCTCCTTGCTGCCTGTGTTACCCATTGTCACCAAAAGAAAAAAATCCGACCATTTTAGGCCAGGGAGGTTGTAGTCTGCCTGCCACATAGCAACCAGGCCAAAAATAGTAGCCAGTGCACTCCTGCAGTCACAAGCAAGTCCCCAAACTGTGGTGTTTGGAGAGTTCAGGACTCAAGGAAAACCAACCGTCCAAAACCCAGCCTTAGCAGGAGGCTGGTCCTTGTTGACTTTTTTCCTGGGAGTTGAGGCTGAAATAAGCAGATGCCTCGAATCGTGGGAATCTAGGCAGACCTCGAGCTGGAAGACCCATGGTTCAACTCCTTCATGTTACAGATAGAGAAACTGAGGCCCAGAGAGTTAGTTCCCAAGTGACTCGCCCAGAGTCCAGGGGAATGACTAGTTTAGAAGCAATCATTTCTTATGGGATCTCCAATGTCACTCAGTCTAACTTGAACCCTTAGCCAGTGACATCAGTACAACTTTTTACTGAATTCTTGCTTCTGCTTGGTCTAATGGAAGAGGATTATACCCAAGGACTACTGCTTAGGCCCCGTCCTGGGGTTTTCAGCCACTTCTTACTCCATCCTTCCTTGGGAGGTCCAAGCAAGGTAAGGGATGCAAGGAATGGAGAAGGCTCACCCTAGACACCACCTGCAGAGGCTTTCTCTTTTTGCTCCATTTTCAAATGATTATCTTGAGTTGGGACTCTTCACCGTTTGAGGTGTAGAGATGCCTTGCGCAGTAGTGGGGAAGCCATGGACCCCTTCTCAGAATCATATTTTTAAATGCATAGAAAAAATACATAGACTCACCAAGGAAACTAATTATGTTGAAACAAAGATGTCATTTCCCACCCATGCAAGATCATAAATTCTTTGAAATCTTTAGGGATCAGAGGACCCCAAGTTCGGAACCCCTCCTATGGAAAGGAAGCAGCAACTGCCCTTCTTAGCATCCAATAAAAATGTCAAGGCCAAATTCCTCCTGGGCCTGGATTTTGACACTGAGATGCTACATGCTCTGAGGCTCAGCCAGGAAGCCAGCTGGGGACTCATTAACCCCTTTTTGCCCCACTCTGCCGCTGTCCCCCAAATCCATTAGGAGCTCTTGGCTTATACTTCCCTAGATAGATATGTTTGCTTGAAACTATGGCTTCTGTTTAAACCCCAGACCCTCCAGCAGCACTTTTGAAGGGACACCTTACTCCCTTCCATATTCTTGGCACAAAAAGGGTTGGGAGGAGAAAGAGATAAGGGAGATCCTTTTGCTTATGACCCCTCTGACAAAGAGCTCCCATGGGTCAGCTCCAAAAAAGGTCCTTCCCTGTCCCCAATCCCACCATGCTGTTTGCTAGTGGTAGCATGCCGGCTGGATGTGTGTGATTTCCTGCTCTTGGTCTCGGTGGGGTGGGCAACGCAGCACTCTGGAATTGCATGTTGGGACCCTATCACGCTGATGTTTCTTACCTAATTTTCTTTCCTTTCTATCTATAGAAATATTATGGGCTGGATACAAAATGGGGTGACATCGAACAGTGGATGGTATGCCTTTTGAATAACAGGTTTTAAAAATCCCAAATGGTTTATCATTTAATTCTTCTGCCTTTAATTCTGTGGATCTTCCCTGACATTGAGATGAGTTTAAGGGCCGACGGGGTTCTTAGTAGGGTCGTGGCATCCTGACGAATCAGGTATTCTGAAAGCTGGATTTATTCATAGAATCGTTTCACAATTTCTCTTTCCTTTTTCCTATAAGAAAATTCAGTGAGACCCATTATAAAGCAGAAATGGAACCCTGGTGACATTTAAAAGCAAACAGAGGCAATTCATTATTCATTTATGTGAGTTATTGGAGTGAAAATAACTGATCATTTCATTGCAGCACCAATGGTCAGGGGTGGGCCATAATTGGTAATGCCCAGGGTCCTCATAAGCACAATGCTTTCTAAGCCCCATGTAGAGCTTTATAGACTAAGCCTGCATAGATTCTTCCAGCAATGATTGGGAACAGGTTTGTGTCATGCCAAGTCCCAACCTTAGCTTAGCAAAGATCCCACTAAATGCTTGGCCCAAAGCTCCCCCATCCCCTATATCTGTACATGAGTCAGACTCAGCAGAAGTCTTAGTATGTACAAAGTGAGACCAAGGGAAGAGTTCAAGGTGAGTTCAACTCAAGAAGACTCTAGATTTGGGGCATATTTTTTTTTAAAGGAGACAATGCTGTATTCAGAGTGAGGGAGAAGAGATGGGACATTCAGTTAGCACTGCAGGTGAGAGTGGCCGTCTGCTGACTAGTTTTACCTGTGATGTTTAATTTGAGAAATGATTCTTTTAAAAAAAAAAGAGAGAGAAAGAAAGAAATGAAGATCTGATCTGTAAAACTAATTGGGTTATGGTCTAACAAATGGAGTCAGTCTACTTTCCTCCGCCCTTCCCCCTCTCCCCAACCAGGTGACAGCATGTGGTAATTAATATCTGAGATTCATTCAGCTGCCTCACCAGGTGATATAAAATGACTTCACGACCCGATGAGCTTAAGATTTGATATTCATTTAAAGGAGTGTGAATAAGTAAACTCCAGTTTGCCAAAACTCTTCCCAACAAAAAGAGCCCAATGGTTTTCTTTAGTAGCATAGGAAGATCATGGCCTCCTTTAAGGCAATGGGGTGAAATTCAAATAGAAACCTTAGAAAGCCACAAATTAACATGATCTATGTTGTATTGTATTTTTACTTATTTTTGTTGAACATTTCCAATTACATTTTAATCTGGTGTAATTGGAATTTAGGCTGTGAGTTTGACACCTCTGCTTTAAGGGTTGCCAAATTCCGAACTGAATCAGATCTATAGCAGAACAAGTCAGTGTAGTTTTTGTGGGGATTCTTCGAAATTGGGTAATTGGAGAGGGGCAGTGGGAAGTAGTGGATAGAGAGCCCTCCTTGAAGCCATGGGTCAAGTCCTGCTGTTGTAGATACTGTGTCCATTCATACCTCATCGCCCCCTCCCCTTTCCTCTTCCCTCCCCCCCAACTCTCTGAGCTTGTAAATTGAAGAAGGAGTTCCTTGTGCCAATGTAATCACAAGCCCAGCCTCATCATTGTTGGAGGTATACCATAGAGAGGTTAACCAGCATATTCAGTTAACCAGAGCTTTCCCATTCCCTGGGGATCCTTCAGGGTGAACAGAGCCCACTAAAAGATGAACTCACAGTAATTAATCTCTAGGCCTGCCAAGCTACCTAGGGAAAAGAGGCCGCCCTCCATCAAGCTAGGTGGTATACAACAGTTTTTTGAAAGGGAGACTCAATTTTTCTCATAAAATCATGAGAGCCCTTTGTGTGACAGCAGGGCAGTTCCTGGTATACCAAAAAAAAAAAAAGGAAAAAAACTACTTTATGCACTTGTCAACAACCCTCCAGGGAACCGTGGGCATCTATTGTTCACAAGTAAAGGGTAGTGAGGGCTGCTAGGAATGAATGGTCTTGAGCAAGTTCATTTCAATACCCAAGCGCACTTGCCTGCTGTCTGCTGGGTAATTCACAATAGAGTACAGAGCCCCATCTCCACCACCGAGCTTCTGCCCCCACCCCTTTTATCCTTGGTCAATACAAGGAATAATACCTGCCTCTGGCTGCTTTTACTGCCCCCACAATCCCTTTCTGAGGTTTTATGTTATAGCTCAAATAAATAAAGGCTTGTGATACAAACTCTTAGATGCCGAGAGAGAAAGAGAGAGAGAGAGAGAGAGAGAGAGAGAGAGAGAGAGAGAGAGAGAGAGGAATGAAAGAAGGAAGGAAGGGGAAGAGAGAGAGAGGGAGAGGGAGAGGGGGAGAGAGAGAGAGAGAGAGAGAGAGAGAGAGAGAGAGGGGGGGGGGGGAGAGAGAGAGAGAGAGAGAGAGAGGAATGAAAGAAGGAAGGAAGGGAAAGAGAGAGAGAGGAATGAAAGAAGGAAGGAAGGGAGAGAAAGAAAGGGGGAGAGGGGAGGAATGAAAGAAGGAAGGAAGGGAAAGAGAGAAGGGGAGAGAGAGAGAGTGAGAGAGGAATGAAAGAAGGAAGGAAGGGAGAGAAAGAAAGAGGGAGAGAGAGAGGAATGAAAGAAGGAAGGAAGGGAAAGAGAGAGGGAGAGAGAGGAATGAAAGAAGGAAGGAAGGGAGAGAAGGAAAGAGGGAGAGAGAGAGAGAGAGAGAGAGAGAGAGGAATGAAAGAAGGAAGGAAGGGAAGGGGGGGGAGAGAGAGAGAGACAAAGAACCCAAAAAATCAGTGATTTGATGTTCATGGCAGAAATGTTATGTTTGCACAAAAAAAATACACAAAAGAAAATGAAATACAGAAGACAAATTATAGCTTTTCTTAGGGAAGTTAGTCCCAGCTATTAGATTATTTTGTCTCATTAAGACTATTCCTTAGAATATCAAGGTTTCTTTTTTCCCCAAAGCATTTTTGACATTTCTGCTTTCAACCTTTTACTGTTCTTTCTTCCTTTGCTTTGTTAGGAAGAGAGCGAGCGATACTCTCATAGATTCCGAAGAAATCCATCGGTTAGTACGGTCTTTGTTCCTTCCTTAGGCCTTCGCCCAGAAGTGATGTCTTATTTGTGCTTGTGGTTGCTAGCATAAACATTTACTTCCATGGTCCTCTTGGAAGGAGGTGACTGATCCTGTGGTTAAGTATGGGCCATGACTTAGGCGGATACTGAGAAGGTTGCTGGGGATGTTTTGCCTTCACTTTTTGGTGTTTTTAGAAACGTTTGGAAGTATGGTTATTAACAAGGAATGGGTGGCAGCCTGTGTGTGTTTCCCCCATTTTTTCCCCTTGACTAATGGGAGAAAGGGTGTTTTTTATGATATACTGAATATGTGCATTTATAAATTACCACATGCTGTTAAATACTTTCATTTTAAGAAAGTGAGCATAGTAGATCCGGGCAGAATCAGATGTCAACAGGTATGTACCAAGGCAGTGAGTGGGTCTGATGGATTATTTGGGATTCATCTGCCTTGCTTCTCAAGAGTGATGGTATCATGAGTTTTACCCACTTTATTATTAGCTTGAATCTGATTCTGTTGTGGTGTAAATCTAGCTGTTGGGTCTGTTCTGTTTGTCACTGAGATTGTTGGCATTGATGTCATCCCTTCTGTTATTTCTATCATTTCATGTGTTTCTTTTCATCCTTTCTTTTCCAATAGGCTTCTGATGAAGATGAGCGTATGTCAGTGGGTAGTCGCGGAAGCCTGAGGGTTAGTAACCAAATTATTCAGTGTGCACGCTTACTTACACCATGTGGAAGCTTTCTGTTTTCTCATCAGAAGACTAAGAATCTTTGCCTCTAGGTTTCCCAATCCAACCCCAGGATTATACTCACAATGAATCACATTATGAAGTCCTGCCCTTGTGCCTCCTGAAATTGAAAAGGTTTTTGCATGAACAAAAATAATGCAGCTAGGATAAGAAGAGAAATCACTGAGTGGGAAAACAAAGTTTCCATCAAATATCACTTTTAGTCTTAGATAGATATATATTCCTTGCCTAATGCAAGTGCAGTCAGTGTCTATATAATAGGTTGAATATACATACATACATATATATATACATATGTAATATACACATGTATATATTTAGGTATATAGCTTGACTTTTATCAGTGATTTTTGATGCAATGATTTTTTTTTCTTCACTCAGTGGTTTCATTTATTTTATTTGTGTAAAAGTTTCTAATTTTAGGGGGAAACTGTGTGCCCACTCATCTACACATAAACATGTACATTTCCATTTCCAACTATATAGAGAATTGACACAAATATGTAAGGCCAAGAACCATTCCCCAGTACATAAATGATCAGTTTCCACAAGAATTTTAATCATCAATAGGTGTATGAATAAAATGCTCCAAATGACCAGTAATAATGGAAATGAAAACTGAAAAACTCTGAGGTTAAAGTGGTCAGCCCTCAAGGTTAAGCACTGGGAGCTCCTTTTTTTGTAGCTTCTGCACGGCTTTTGTAGCTGTTAGTTGCTCTCTTTTCCTTCTGTTTCTGTTGTTGCCCTGGAGAGGTTACCAATAACATCAAATACTTAAGTGTCCTTTACTTGGAAACAGCAGTTTAGGTTTGCCGACTTAAGAAAACAAGGCCAACCTAGAATGATGGTTTGGAGCGTGAACAATGCCAGATGCTTTCCTCGTTTGTCCAGAGAGTCTGCAGAAGTCCCACCAGCTGAGATAACTTACTAGCCTTGTGGCTTGACCAAGTCCTGAGTACTTACATATTTGGACAAAGGCTCTGTTCTGGGAACCTTAGCAGAGTGGAAGCTTCCAGAGGACAGGAGTTGTTTTGTTTCTGCATGTTCACTTTTGCAGAGTATCTGCTTTAATCAGTTCTTGCTGTAGAATTGTAAATAGCAAAATAATGCTGTCAAGTGACATTTTGGCAGGTAGCACCTGTAAGATTCAAAGGATCATGAGATTTGAAGCCTGGAGGCCTTGGGAGATCCTGCAGTCCAATCCCCAGATAAGGAGAGTGATTTCTCCAAAGCCCCCTCGGTTGTAAGGGGCAGAGGGGGGAGTTAACCCCAGACCTCTGCCTCCAAATCTAGTGTGCTTTTTCTATTGTATCCTGCTGGGTCCATTTTCTGAATTAAAATGGGCTAACAGTTGGATTTGCTGTGTGATGGATAGGAACCAAGCAGTAATTGGTTTTGGCTAAAAAGCCTATCGTAGTTAATGAAATATAAATGTAATTTCTTAATTAATATGGGTGGTTAGTCATTTAGCCTATTTAAAGCTTGAATTGATTATTTTTTCTTCCTGTGATAATGTTTTCATAAAGCTTCATAAATTCTGGTGATCAGATCTAATGTACTTTGGGAACTGAAGTAGAGAAATGGACATATTTGTATTTCTTCTTAAGTCAGCAAATTGACCTGTGGATGCCCACTGGCATGTTTCTTTTTCTGAGGCCAGGTCACTCCTCATCTGTAATAATAAGGATTAGCACTTAGTAAACCCATGCATTGTATCAGTGAACTAGATTAAATCGATCTTTTTTCACTAGTTATATCACATTTTTACACTTAAAACCCCTGTACTTACCCTCAGGATACATCAAAATCTGTCAAAGTTCTTTGTAGCACTAAAAAGTCCAATTGAGAACATCTTTCTTGGTTGTTGCGAGCACCCTCCAGGTATGGACGAATGGTGACCATCTTCATTGGCCAGGGCAAGGTGTCAGGCTTGGTTCACTTCTTGTAACACATTATCCTGAAACGGGAATAGGTTGTTTTAGCTAAATCTCTTTGAACACAGTAAGTAGGGTTGGGAACTGAAAAACTGACCTGTTTTTAGTAGTGCATTTTGGAAGAATTAGAATAAATGCTAAATATATTTATACTTAGAGATTTTAAGAAAGTTATTAGGGATTCTTGATGGGAATCAGTGAATATTATACCTAAATGAACCTGATCCTAAATTCACATTTTAAGCAATAAAGAGTGAAAATCTTGCCCTTTCCTTTATGAGGGAGCCAGGTGGCACATAGCAGATAGAGTTCTAGACACTCAGGAAGAACTGAGCTTGAATCATGCCTCACATACTTCCAGTACTTAGCAGAAAGGCACATAGGAGGTGCAATAAATGTTTGTTGGCTGACTATGTGACCCTGGTAAAGTCACTTAACCTCTCTGTGCCTCAGTTTCCTCATCTGTGAAATGAGCAAGTTGGATGTATTGTTTCTAAGGGCCTTTCTGTATCTATGAATCTGTGATCCTCTTACAATGCTGTATAATTGGTTGATGGGGATTGGATTTCCTTCCCAGAACAGATTAAGGAAACGCTCATTATCTGGCAATTCAGCAGAGTGACCTGGGATCACTTAGCCACAGCTCATCAGTCTCTCCCTCATTCCTCCTCCAGAAAAGTGTCTAAGTTATAAGCTAACCCCCCTGGATGCCCAGACAGATGCCCCATTACCCTCTTAGTGAGTTGAACTCTGTGTCACTAAGAAAATAAATAGAGATGTTAGGACTAAATTGTTTAAGATTTGGAATGGAATTAAAACAAATTTTATTTCTGTTGGAAGTGAATTTAGTTGAGCAAAGTCTAACTTGATTTTTTTAAGCACTATTACTGCTGCCACACTGAAAGCTTCGGAGATCTGGCCCCTTTTTCCTTTATCCTTGACATGAGGAGATTGGACTCAGTGATCCATCTTGGTCCCTTCTTCCATCTTGAGATTTTAGCTTCTCTGGGGCTTTCCCTGTCCTGATGATATTTTCATATATTACAGAAAGAGATAGATGTCTCAGGACTACCCCCCAGCCTTTCAGGGAAACCACCCTCATATAAGGTTTAGCGATCAGCTTTCCTCTGGACAACTGATGAAGTTTTTCACCTTTCTGCCTTTGTTCAAAACGAAATTCATTCAGTCTCTGGTGAAAGATAGCCCAGCTGGAGGGCACGAGGAATCTCTTCAAACTGCAATGCAATCACTGAGGTCACTGCTGTTATGTCCTATCAGTTATTCAAGAAACCTGCCTTAGAATGGCACCCTCTGACACCCATTCCTCAGCACTGCCTTGCAGGGGAACTGGCTTTGTGACGGGGCACATTGAACCAGGCCCTGCCCAGTATTGAGCCCCAGTCCTAGAGTAAGGTTTATGGTAGAACTCCTGGGGTCTGTTGTCCATGTGACTGGAAAAAATGTCTTTTTTAAAAATTACTTAGTAATTGATTTTTATTAATATTTTAAAATTAATAATTTAAATAGAATTGTTGTAGTGGTCAAATAGTATACAGATTAGATGTATAGATTTTTTTGAGCTTAGATGCTTAGTGTTTAATTTCCTCTACCAATAAAGATTTTTACCGTCCCTGAAACTTCTATTTTCAGTCACCTGTTTCTTTTCTTTTTTTTTTTCATTTATTTAGTAGTTTATTTGAAAAAAATTCCTTAGGAGGACCTTTCATGGGGCTGTGCTTCAGAAGAGAGTTGATTCCTTTACCTAGATATCGGGAAGCGTATATTAAACAGGACCTAGAATCTCAGACTCTCAGGCTTCTGAGGGCCCTCTGAGGGCCTTACCCGAACAAGAATCCTCTCTACAACATGCCTGACAGTGGCCATCGGGCTGTTGCTTGAAGTCCTTTAGTGACAGGGAGCCCACTACTTCCAGTGGTAGGCCAGTCCACTTTTGGACAGCTCCAGTTACTGAGTTTTTTCTTGACCTTGAGCCTAAATCTGTATTCCTTCACCTCTCTTGTGCCTCCGCTGTTTCTGGTCTGCCCTCTGAGGCCAAGAAGAATAGGGCTGACCCCTCTTCCATAGGACAACCCTTCAGAAGCTTGGAGACAGCTCTCACCCTCCTCTTCCCATGAGTCATCTCTTCTCCAGGCTAAACATCCTAGTTCCTTCAGCTGGCCCTCAAATTGCATGATGTCAAGGCCCTCCACCACTTCGGTTGTCCTCCTGCAGACGCTCTCCAGTTTTTTGTTGCCCTTAAGATGGCGGCATGCAGCACTGGACTACAGTCAGCAGCTGTTTTCTGAGCAGCGTAGAGTATAGTGGGACTTTTGTCTCCCTAGTCCTGACCTTGGGAGAGTGAGGCAGGAGTCATTTATAAACTTGCAATTTTATCCCTGTAGGGAACTTCCAGTGTAGAATTTCTCTTCATCGTTGAAGACTAGCGACTGCTTTTAAATTTGTAATTTTGGCAGCTTGACAGGTAAATTACTGCTAAAGTCAACAAGTTACAGGTCAAATTAAAATGCATTCTATTCCTTATGCCTTTTACTGCTAATTCCAGCACTTAGCACAGCGTCTGTCCCACACAAGGCAGTAAATGCTTGGTGCCCAACATGTCATTGGCCTTCTAGGCCGCCACGTCTCCTATCCACTCTCAGAGTTGCCATCCACTAAAAGCCAATCTTTTCTAGGGGAGCTGCTTTGTGGAGCAGTGTCTCACATTTGTGATGTTGAATTTCTGGTTCTCTGGATGACTTTACATTTAGTCCTATTGAATTTTGCCTTCTTGGATTTGGCCCAGCTTTGTGCCCTGTACGTCTTATTGAAGCCAGACTCCTTCTCACATCCATTGTGTCAGCCACTCCTTTGTACTGTCTGCCAATTTGCCAAGCCTACCATCCATCCTTTTGTCCAAGTGATGGAGGAAAATGGGAAACAGCACGGCTCCCAGCCCATAGCCTTCATCTTTCTAGGTGCCACCTTCCTGGTTGACATTGAGCCTTTAACGGCTCTTCTCTGGGTCAGCCTTTTGTGTAACAGCAGTGTCCTGGAGTGTCCATCTCTTCCACAAAAATAGCATGAGGGAGTGGATCAAATGCTTAGGTCACATCCTGAAAAACTGAATCTACACATGAACTTCATTTGCCAATCTAGTCACTATCAAAAGGCAGGTGAGTTTAGTCTGAATGACTAGATTTTCATGAAATCACTCTGGTTCATTTTTAGTGATCGCTGTACCTTTTAGGGAACGTTCCATAATTACCTCTTTCGTTGGAACACTGACATTTCCCAGGAATCCAAGTCAAGCTCACTCACTTCTAGCTTGTCAGCTCCATTTGCTATCCTTTTTTGAAAGTCAGGACAAGATTTGCCCTCCAGTTCTTTGGCCCCTCTCCCGCCCTCCGGGATCTTTCGGCCATCACCAACAGTGGCTCAGGAAACACACTGGCCCTTTCCTTCATGTATCCTAGGACATAGTGGCTCATCAGGGCTGGGGAGCTGACCTTGTCAGAAGCAGCCAGGTGACCTCTTCCTATCTCCCTACTTATCTTGGGCATGACTTCCTGTTAGCCATTTTTGTTCTGTCCTTTCTGTTCCAAAGATCATTCTCCTTGGCAGAGAAAACAATCAAAACTGGAGTTCAACCGCCATTTTTTGGCCCTTTTTCTTGGCCCCATCCACCCTGAGCAGCAGCTCTATCCTACCCTTTGTGGATATGCACCCTAGTAATTGCTGCTGCCGGCGCTGCAACCCCTGCCCCCTCAGCAGCTGCAGATCCTCAAAACCCAGAAAAGAAAAGCTCTCCCCACCAAAATTCTTGACCCTCTGTCTGTCAAAAGGTTCAGCATCAAAGCTGATGGTACGATTTTATCAGTGGGAATGATGCTAAAAAAAGATATGTTACCATCTGCCCTGCTTAGGACCATGGGACCTTTCCTTCTGCCCTGCTACTACACCCTGGGTACCATGCGACCTCATTGCCTCAGAGCTGATGTCCTCCTCTATGTGTCATCTCACCCACTGGAATGGGAGCTTCCTGAGAGCAGGGACTGTCTTACCTTTCTATTTGTATCCAGCACTTAGCACTGTGCTTTTGTAGATAGTAAGTGCTTAATAAATGCTTTGTTGTTCATCTGTCATCCATCCGTTCATTCACACGAGCATTCTTTGATTCTTCTCTTTGCCCCCATGTCACCATGTGGGTCATGTGTTTTCTCACCACTGTCTTTGCCGGGTTTGGTCTCCAGTGATTTCTGGCCAAGACCTCATTATCTTTTATGTTGCTATCTCACTTTTCCCCTTCTCTGGTGGTCAGTCACCAGGCTGGAGCATGCACTTGTCAGGGACAGTGAAGCAGTGAAGCGGCGCTTCTAATCTAGCGACTGGCTAGATCCCATGAGATCCACCCCCATTCAGTGTCTTAAGATTCTGAGAAACAGGACAGGAGCATGCTGTGTATTCCCCAACTGGGCCAAGACTGAGGGCCAGCCGATGCCTGGTAAATATTAATGAAGCTCAAGAAATTAGGGATGTCCAAATCCTGTTACTTAATGTTGAGTCGTAGATCTAAAACTACATATAACCTGGGAAACCATAGTTTAACCTCTTCATTTTACAAGTGAGGAAACTGAGGCCCAGAGATTTAAGTGACTTGCCCAAGGTCACATCTAGGACCCCAGATCTCAAGCGGGAAAGGACCCCAGAAGTCATCTAGTCCAACCCCCTTATTTTCACATGAGGAAACTGAGGCCTGAGGCAGGGTCTAAGGTCATACATAGGATCAGAGATTTAGAATTAGGAGGGGCCTTAAAGGATCATCTAGTCTGACACCTTCATTTTTGCTCCTTTCTACATGTAACTAGGGAAAAATAAAATACTAAATAAAAGCTTAAAAAATTAGTAACGATCCTAGGAGTTTAATACTTCATAGATTTATAGCCAGAAGGGACCTCAGAGTCTATCTGGTCCAAACCACTCATTTTACAGAGGAGGAAACTGAGGCCCAGAGGGAGGCAGAATGATTGCCTCTCGTTACATAGGTAGCAAGTTTCAGAGGCAAGTCCTGGCTTCCAAAGCTAGGGTGCTTTCCAGTGTCCCACCGTGCATCTTAATTAAGTCCTTTCCTGTTAGGGAAAGTGAAAACACTCATAGGCCGCTTCCACTGCCGGGCAGTTGGGGGACCTGACACATGGAAATGTGATGCTCTCTTCTTTTCCAGGTTGCCACATTAAGCTTTTCTGTTTCTTTCTCCTTGGGTAAATATGCCTACAAGGGCAGAAGGTGGGAGGGAGGAGTGTTTTATTGTTTGCTCTTATTTGTCCACTGTGCCTGGGGCCTGCCTCCCCTTCTGACCTGTCCTTATCTCCCCTGATGCTCCTGGCAGTCCCAGGCCACGCTGGACTATGCTGGTGCCTACCCTGCGGTGAGAGTCACGATGAGCATCACTGGGTGTGACTTGTAACCCACTTATGAGGCATGCCACTAACACATCCTCCACTTGACCTCTCTCAGGGATGATCGTTTAGAATCAAAAACTTCAGAGTTATTTAGGGAAACAAATGGATCTCCTGGGCCTGCAGTACTGGCCGGGTCCCCAGAGGCCAGCTAGTGTGACCCCCTTCAGTATTTACAGATAAAGGAATCGAGGCCCAGGAGTAGGAAAGACTGTCCTAAGTGGCAGGAGTGGGATCTGAGCCCAAGCCCTCTGGTTCCGGAGCTGGGGTTCTTGCCTCTCTGAGCGTTCTAAGCCTCAGGATGTATTTTCCCATTACATTTCATAGGAGAGTTTGACTTAACATGTGTCTCAAAGATTGACAGCAAAATCATACGCACGGAGGCCCAAGAGTACGTTGAGCAGGCAGTTGCTCCAGATAGGACTGGGATTTCATTTTGAGGGGCTGCTTTTTACCCTCTGTCAAAACTGGAATTGACGGGACTCCCAGATCACCTTCATAGGTTCTAACTGATGCCCTTCACCTTCTGCCATGATTCCCCATTGAGATTTTCTGCATTTTGGCTCAGTCACTAACATTATTAATCAAATAAAAAGTTAATGATTAGCATGGGTGTGGCTGCTAGAAGTGGAATAACACTTTAAAAACAGTGCATGGTGGGCCGTGTTCATTGGGCTCTTGGAGACATTAATCCCGGGATCATTCTGTTTGACAGCCCTGCAATCCTCTGTAAAACCATGCTTTGGGAATGCCTTTCTCTGCTCCTTGTTCCACTATGATGCTTATGGATTTGGAACAGATTTTGGTTGATTTTGCACATGTCCATATGAAATCCCAGTATAATGAAGTGGCATTTTTTAAAATGAGGTCTTTATAACCAAGATATTTTCATGCTCAGGCAGATATACATGACTCCGGAGGAATGGTGCTTTGTTGATCTGGTCACAGTAACTTCTGTAAATTGAATAATCTCATGCACATTACTTCCCTTAATGAACAAATGAATGAATGAATGAATGAATGGAGTGGGAAAAAAAAACATGTATTAAGCTCTTACTGTGATACTAAGCACTCAGGATATAACTAGCAAAAAGCAAAACAGTCCCTGTTCTGTAGGTACTCACACTATAATTGAGGGGAGACAACATATAAAAGAAAGTCCAGCCATGTGGGGTACTTGGGAAGGTCTGGAAATCCTAAGGGTTCAGCAGAGGGCCAGCTGGCCAGGACCTCCTTTGTGTGGCGGTGACTTTCTGTAAACTTTAACTTAATGGTCTTCTCTGTGTACTGGGTGCAGTCAGAGAGAAGAGTAGAATTATAGGACTTAAAATCACAAGGAAAATCCCTGCTCCTATAATCCTGGCCTCCTCATTATATAAATCTGGACACTGAAGTCTCAGGAGGTCAAATGATTTGCCCCAGGTGTTTGAACCAAGATTCCAATTGAGATGAAACTTTGTCCATCAAAGGATTCAAAGAACAAAAACATCAAAGAAACTTTGTCTCTCCATCAAGTAACAATTACCTTTCCAATGCCATCATCCTTTCTCACCACAAACATCCCAACAACCCAAGTAAACCCCAGCCATCCCATTAAAAAATAAACAAAAACAGCAGTGCTCAGGACCAAGGCTGGGAACCTTCTTTCCCTGGAATTAAAAGGGCTTCTTCTCATTTGTTAAATTCACTGCAGAAAATCATCAACTGCATTTAATCTCTACATGCCCTGGATGGAGACCTCTGCAATGTGCTTTCCAATCACAATCATTGAAAAGCACCATTAGCCAGGAAGAGTGGACCAGCCTAGTGGAGTTTTGTAGGCAGGGAGGGAAGAGATGAGGAAAGTTGGGCTGTCTTTTCTTTTTCTTTCTTTTTTTTTTTTTGGCTAGGCAATGGGGCTAAGTGACTTGCCCAGGGTTAGTAAGTGTTATATGTCTGAAGTCGGATTTGAACTCGGGTCCTCCTGACTTCCAGGCCAGTGCTCTATGTACTGTGCCACCTAGCTGCCACTGTTGTGCTGTCTTTTGTCCGGCCGGCCCTCTTAACTCTGTCACTGCAGGCCACATTAAGAAAGCAGGAGCTCCAAAGCCCAAGGCTAGAGAAGAAAAGGCCGAGCCAGAGGCTTCATTTTATGGAGAGCTTGTTTTGTCTGTCTGGGCCAGAATTGGAGCAGGAGGTGGTAAGGACTTAAACTTGGATTTCTTTTGGCTTCTGCATGTAATGTTCACTTTTCTCTGAAACTATTTTGTTTATTGAAGAGATAACAAGGGAGGATAGTTAAGGTCTGGAATGTGCAAATACTAGTGACATATTCCAGCTTCAGATTATCCTCTCAGACAGAGATGAAAGTCAAGAATTGTTCTGAAAATGTCTGCCTGTTGCCAGTGGTTTTATCTTTAAATCTTTGATTTTGGAATCTATTTTAAGAGCTTTTTTGGCATTCTGTTAAGATTACTCTGAAAGTTCTTCATCAGGGTTCCTGTTTTGTTACATCGAAAAGAGAAAGTGATGGGGCCTGTGATTTTGTTGGTACAGGGGAACGCCCTGGAGAAGCAGCTCCTACTGGTGCAGGCCAGAGGCCTTCTGGGTACTCATGATCTAAGAGAGCTGCCTAGGCACTAAGAAAGGAGGAGTCAGGGCCAGGCTCCTGCAGCTGCAATTTCAGCGGAAGGACTTGAACCCAGATCTTCATGGTTCCAAGACAGAACCTCTGTTTCCACCATGTAGTCTCTCTACCTTAGAAAGTGGCTTCAAAATCATTTGGTTTTTATGTAAGAATAAAGCAGGGGGGCAGTTAGGTGGCATAGTGGATAGAACACTGGCTCTGAAGTCTGGAGGACCTAAGTTCAAATCTGACCTCAGACCAAACACTTGACATTTACTAGTAGAGATACCAGAGTGGTTTGCTGTTTCCTTCTCTAGCTCATTTTACAGATGAGGAAACTGAGATAAACAAGTTAAGTGACCTGCCCAGGGTCACATTGCTAGTACCTGAGGCTGGATTTGAACTCAGGGCTTCCTGACTCCAGGCCTGGTGCTCTATCCACTGTCCCACATAACTGCCCTAGGAACTGCCTAATTTAATACAAAGAGGTCCGTCACCCATGGGCTGCTACTGAGTTATATGTCCTTGGGTCATGACAGCCTATGAAACAGAAATCCAAAATGTCCCTTGGTCCTTTGCAGGTCCTTCTACGTTGGCAGTGTTGGAGGCAGAGAGAGCATTGCTAAACAACAGTTGCTAATCGTCTCAGTGTGAGGTCCTTGTCCAGTGACCAACCCCAGAGATCATTCTATAGGAGGAAGCAACTCAGAGCAATTTTAACATTCTTGTTATAAACTAACCCAGAAGATGGAAGGAAGTTCTGTGTAAATAGAAGGGATGGAAGGTCACAGGTTCTCCTGAGAGGAGTAGGAAGGAGCTGGTGTTCTAGGTTTTATTGTGCTTAGGAAGGCAGCAAGAACTTATGATCTCATGGAACATTGCTTACCTCCTATTACATTCATGATAGAGAGTTGGAGAAAGACAACTATGAAAACAATCTGCAGCTGATTACCAACAGCAGTTACAGAGGGTGAAGAGAAGGAAAAACTCCACGAGAACATAATCTGAGTCCCTCCACATGAATTCCACATTTTCTTTGATACTTGGTGACTCTAGTGCCAAGGGCAGAAATAGGCACAGATGGGAGGAACATGAATCACAAATGTGGAAGGAGAAAGGAAAGGAAGGGCAAAGGCTGGTAAACTACCATTCACCAAATCCTCAGGCCTCTATGTCATGAATACTTTATGTGAGAAAAGAATAGAAAGATGCTGAATGTGGCAAGCTCCAAATAACAAGACAAAGCAGATGGGAAATGACTCAGTACTGATACTGGAGGCATTCTCCAGGGAAGGAACAGCAATGGGAAAAGCAGCTGGACTAGACCGGGCAGAGTCAGACTGGCTTGTTAGGCAAAGATTAAGGTGAAGATAAAGCTGGAAGACTAAAAATGTGAAGAGGCTCTGGCCTGCAATTAACACAATTCCAGTCTGACCTACTGAAACAGGTTATTGATGCTGAGAAATGAAATGTGGACAGAGGAAAGGACATTGACACTAATTTAAATATTTTCATGTAGAAGTTTAGGCAATGCTCATCAGTTGCCATGATGAGGAGCCCAAAGAGCCGATAAACCATCTTGGTCAGCAAACACTTGACTTATGATGGCAACAAGGGGAAACCACTCGTCTAAGATATAAACTCATTTGGAAAGCCTGACTGAGAAGGATAACAGAAAGATTAGGAGCAGTATGTTCTCAGAGCAGAGAAAAATGATGGAGGGTGGGAACCAACATAAGGAAAGTTTGGCTAGACACCCGATTAAACAGTCGTTCAGAGGGCCTTTAGCCATGAGACTGAAAGAGGAAAATCAGAGGAGTAAAAGATAGAAATGACCTGCAAAGGTTGTTTTATAACTACCTCTTTTCACCATCAAGGACCCAGGAGCCCTCACACATAGGCTCTGGCATCACAGGCCCAGATATATTTATAGAGGAAGGAGAAATGTCAGTGAATGGAACTGTGAAGGGAAAACAAGCTGTCCTAGACCAAAATGCAGTAGTAATAACAATAACAACAACAACAACAACAACAAGAATAATAATAGCTAGCATTTATATAGTGCCTCCTGTGTACCATGCATTGTGCTAAATTAGCACTTTTAAATTATTACCTCATTTAATCCTCACAACAACCCTTGGAGGTAGGTTCTGTTATTATGCCTATTTTACAGTTGAGGAAACTGAGGCAAAGAGAGGTTAAGTCAGTTGCCCAAGGCTATACGGCTAGTAAGTGTCTGAGACTGGATTTGAACTCAGGTATTCCTGACTCCAGCCCCAGCATTCTATTCACAGCCCCTGCACCAAAAATAAGATTGTGCTAGAAGAGACATAGTTGTGACGGCATTAAGGCACCCATTGTTAGGATACCTGAAGAAGGGGCAGGTCCCAAAAGTGGAGAAAAATCCTGGCTCCCATCATTATGTCCCAACAAGGTGACTGGGAGCCTTGGCTACCACTGATCTATCTGCCTACTTTTCCCATCCATATAAAATGTTTGTGACGCTATCTTCACGCGTCTCAGAGGCATCCTTGCTGAGGGTTAGAATGGAACAGGCAGGTTCCACCAGCAGGATTTTATGGCGCATCGACCGTCATCACAAAATTGACTAAAGGCTGTGGGGTACTCCTTGTTAGAAGACTGCCCCCCCCAAAAAAACCCATTTGACTCAGTAGATCAAAGAATGACAAAAAGGTCCTCCTCTGACAAGATGCCTCCCTCAAAGATGTCAAAAATATACAATTTCCTGAAAGTAAACAGCAGTAGGAAGCCCCACACTCACTGGTGCTCTAATCATTCATATTAGTCAAGGTGCATAACGGGGAGCCATGCGTGTGCTCACCGTAGGCATTGGCCATTATAGTGGCGGAGATGCAGGACAGAGTCCAAGCTCCAGGAGACATTCCCAATGAATGGGATGTCACTCTAGGTGCCCTTCTTTGCAAGTGACATTGAACTGATCGGACCAAGACCCAGAGCACTGCAGAACCCCCTGGATGGGGTCGAGCCAGGCCTTCCCAAGACTCATTCCATAGCAGGCCACACTTTGACCATCACACAATTGTCTGAAAGGTGTAGAGAATCCCAGAGTCTTCAGGGCTTATCGAATCCAGAACCAGTGGAGAAAAAGAACATCTGTTGGACCAACACTGGAAGTGGCCAGTGAGCGGGTCCCACGGTTGAACAAGAGGAAGCAAGGAGTCCAGATTCCTTTGGAAAACTGCAAAGTTATTATTGACCTCAAACGTCTTCCTGACACAAAGCTATTTTTAATATCGGTATTCCACTGACGACAGCGTAGGACTGCGAGTCCTGTTCTATCACAGGTTCTGAACATTGGCGTGTGAGTATCACCCAGACAACTTTGGAGAAGCCTGTGCAAATGGGCTGCAATGCTTTACAAACCAGGACCTGTGAGAGAGAATCAGCATAAGTGATGTCATCCAAGAAGCTGATGAGCAGAAAAGCTTTCGACTTAGAACTGGAAGGGACTTTGAGGCTGTCAGGTCCAATCCCTTTATTTTGCTGATGAGGAAACTGAAGCACAGGGAGTTTAAGTGCTTTGCCCAAGGTCACACAACTAGCAAGTATCTGAGGCTGGATTTGAACTCAGATCTTTGTGATTCCCAAGTCCAGTGCCACTTAGCTGCCCAAGAAAATGAGTAGGTTACATAAGTAAGAGGTAACCAAGGAGTTGCCCAGATGCTCCACTGGTATCCTTACAATGTCAAAAAAAATTTGAGAAAAGCTCCCTGCACATTGGATGGATTCCCTTTAGCGATCTTATGGGAAGCCAGGTATAAGAGTTTCCCAGGATGGGCCAGTATGGATGGGTGAAGTTCTTTATCTTTGGAGGGAATACCTGCGCTGATGAAATTACAGACCCATGAGGGGTATGAAAGTGGATTCATGTCCCTAATTGTCACCATGAGCCAACAATAGTAGGTTTTTCTTTATGACATATGTCCTCTATTCATGCAGAAAACAGCCCCTCAGGGACTCCGGGGGTCCTTTAGAGTTTTTAAGGGTGGAAAAAAGAAAATGAGCCCCCAGTACCAAGCTGGCAAAGAGCCCCAATACCAAGTTGGCAAGGAGCCCCAGTAGCCAGCTGGCGGGGAGCCCCTCCAAACATAACGAGGAGAGTCCTTGGACAGCAGGCAGAGCATTTGTCCTGGAATCAACAGCCAGAGCTTTTCCAGCATGGGAAGACCTGCTAGAGCTGGCATTCCCACTGGCGTGGCCTTGGAGAGTCCAGGGTCACCCATGTGGCCCAAGAAGGGACTTGTAGTGGAGGCCAAGTAGTAGTAGTAGTGGTAGAGGTGGTGGTAGTGGTAGTGGTGGTAGTGGTGGTAGAAGTAGTGGCAGCAGCAACAGTAGTAGTAGTAGTAGTAGTAGTAGTAGTAGTAGTAGTAGTAGTAGTAGTAGTAGTAGAAGTAGTAGTAGTAGTAGTAGTAGTAGTAGTAGTAGTAGTAGTAGTAGTAGTAGTAGTAGTAGTAGTAGAAGTACTGGCATTTGTGTAGTGCTCTAAAGTTTGCAAACTAGTTGGTATCTATTAACTCATTTGATCCACTTCATGAAAAGGTCACATTAACTTCATGAAAGCAGGAGGAGTGTGTCAAACACAGAGGTTGTAAAGTGAAGGTTCTTTGCTTTGGGATGATTTCTACCTTGAGTGGGTAAAGTGGGGGACAAAGTTTTGACCCTTGGAGTAAAGTCAATTGGTTCAGATTACAGGGGTGCAGAACCTGTGGGCCTCTAGGTCCTCAAGTGCAGCTCTTGTGTGCTACCCCTGGAAGATTTCATTCCCAAATGATGGTGGAAACAACCAAGATATCAGGTGTTTTTAGAAGAAAAAACATAGAAGATAAAAGAAACTACACTGAACCCAATTAAATTAGAACAAAATCTGTGTCTTTCCTAAAACTGTGGGCCCAGGAGCAAGACTGAGCAAGGGAACATTCCTGGAATTGATCCTGACCCCACCAAGTGTTTTACTGAGCTCGGGACAGGAGTCCTTCTCTTCCTGGTGCCATCTAAACCCTCTACATTCATCCTCCAGTGCGGTGTGTGGGGGTGTGGGGTGGGTGTGCACATGCCGGGGCAAGTCAGTTACCCCTATTTACCTCAGTTTCCTCATCTGTAAAATGAGCCAGAGAAGGAAATGGCAAACCATTCTGGTACCTCTGCCAAGAAAACCCCAAACGTGGTCACAAAGAGTCAGACACAACTGAACAACAGTTGCGTATGTATGTATGAATGTATATGCATGCCTTTGTGTTCACTTATGTATATGTATGTGCACGTATGCATTTGTGTGTCCATGCATTTGTGTGTTTTCACATAAAACTGCTCTTACCAGCAGCCACACTTCCCTCTGCTAGGTTGTGGCTCTGGCCTCTGCTTGCTCTAACCATGAAGGCCAACCTCGTCCTTCCCTTGTGATTTAGAAGTGCTGTCTGATCTCTGTTTGGCAGCTCTGCCTCTTTTCTCTTTCCCAGCAGACGAACGGTTACAATGGAGACTTGTACGGATCCTCGTCCCTGAACAGAAAATCTAGCAGGGTCAGTAGATCTGATTGTCAGTAGTGGCCTGTGAAGGCATGTGCGGAAGTTTTCTTAGATATTGGTAAAGTTAGGCTCTTTGGGGCAGTGTCTGCCATATGGCATATCTTCCAGTCCCCTGTATTTGTCCCCCTGCCCATCAGGGATGGGATGTAGCCAGTCCCGATGAAATACAGTGTAAAGCTGCTGTCTGCATCATTCACAAGAAGTCCATCTGACATGGGTTTTAGAAACACTTTTGAAACTGAAGGATGGGTAGAGCTTTGGTTTCCTTTACCATTTGCCTTCTTACCAATGAACCAGCAAACATTTATTAAGCAGCCACTGTATGCCAGGCACTATGCTAGGACCTTGGGGATACCTACTTATCACATTTTAACATTTTTCCACATCTCCAATTTCATTCATTCATTCATTCATTCATTCATTCATTCACGCACTAATTCTATAAACATTTGCACCACATCTGTTGGATGCAGAATGCTGTACTGGAGCTGGTGCAACCTATTAAGGTTGAACTAAAACAAGTCCTGACTGCCTTCGGGAACCTTACAGCCAAGTGATGTATCTAGTACGTAGGCCTGCTGTTTCTGTAATTCACTTTGTTCAAAAACGAACATACAGTCTGGTAGGCTGTTTTATAGCTAGCTTAGAGCTCTGCTTTCTATTTTTAATTCACTTTATTCAATAGTATCCCATTTCTTTATGAAGCTTATGGCCCCCTCTCCCATGGCTAGCTCAGAGCTGTGTCTATTTCTAATTCATTTTACTCAACAAATATTCGGTTTATTTATGAAACTTCCAGTCTAGTAATCTCTCATCTGGCTACCTTTGAGCTCTAATGCCTATTTTGTATTCATCTCATTTATTCATAGACTGTGTATCTCTCTGATACCTGAACCTCCTTGCAACATTAGTCTCTGGAAGTAATGAGTTTATCAATTATGTAAAAAAGCACTTCTGTTTATTTGAGCCCAGACTTAAATGTCTGGAGGTCCTGGGTTTGAATGCTGCCCCCAGCACTTACTAGTTGAGTTACCTGGGGCAAGTTCCTTCATTTTAGGATTAAAATGGAGTCTTTCCTGCCTCCTCTTGGTGAGCGGTAAAGTGCTGCCCAGGTGTGACTTGGTTGTGCTGAGTGGGAATCTCCCCGGCCTTCGGGGTGCCAGCCCTTTAGCTCTGGAGCAAGCTTTGATCTGGATGTCCAGCTGGCACCAGGGCTCAGGCACCTTCCACCCACAGTGACCTCAGGAGACACGTTGTGTCAGAGTCCCCAGGTTCATTCTTACACATGAGGAAACTGAGGCTCTGCTAAGTACAGTGACTTATCCAAGGTCACATAGGTCATAAGCAGAAGAACCAGGATGAATCCAGGCCAGATCCCCAAGCCCGCTTTGCATCATGCTGGGCTGCTTCCTCACCTGGAGCAGAGGCCCCTTTTTGATTCAGAGCTGGGAAGGGGCCGTGTAGTCCACCCTTCACTAGTTGGAGAAGAGAAGTAAAGAAGGGGTTGCCCGGGGTCAAACTGAGATCCTGGGAAGGCCCTTAGAATACACCTGATCTAACCTCCTTATCTTTCAGATAGGGAAACTGAGGCCAAGAAGTTAAGTGCCTTGCCTGAAATCACACAGATAGTAAGTGACAAGAGACAAATTCAACCGCGGGTCCTCTGACTCCATGCCATGCAGAGAACGCTGTCGATTTTTAGCACATCACGTGATGAAGTCTCCCATAGTGTTACATGGCCTCTGGAGTAGGATTCATTGGATTTGAAATTATGCATGTGGCTGGGTGATTTGAGAGCCACCAATTAATTAATCAAGGAACAAGCACGTGTCAGGCAGAGCCCCTCACCTGGACAGACAGCCTGTGCACAAATAGGCAAACACCAAAGAGAAGGGGGGAAGGGGGGGAAACTGCATTTATTAAGTGCCTACTGTGTACCAGGCTCTGTGCTAAGCACTTTGCAAAGCTTATCTTGAATACTGGGGAGACTTTGGAGCAGGCAGGCAGCGGCAGCAGCTGGAGGAGCCAGGAAAGGCTTCAGGAAGGTTTGTGTTTGTATATTCCATCCTCCTCCTTCCTTAGATGGCTACAAAACCACCCAATGCCCTGCCCGGCATAGCCCGGGCCAAGGCCTGATTGAATAGGCCCGTGTTTGAGCCAAAGACTCAGGAGCAGGAAATTAACAGGAGGGTGGGTACAAGCGTCAGAGCCAAATCATGAGTCAGAGGCAGTTAGCTGGGGACCTCTGACTGGAGAAGGCAGGGAAGTGGGTCAGAGGCCAAGCCGTGCCAGAGTCTAACAGGGCAGGGGGGCCTGGGAGCAGGACTTCTCTTGGCCCCCTGCACTGATAGAGGGGCAGTTTGGGAGGGGGGAATAGGAAACCTAAAATGTTCCTGGGAGTTTGCAAACACTCACCAGATCTCATCTCTCCTGATAAGCAGATGCAGAGATGTTCTTTCTATAAGCAGCTAAGCATATAGCAGTGGATACGGGCATAGAAAGAGCCGAGTTCAAATTCTACCTCAGATACTTGCTGGCTGTCTGACCCTGGGCAAGTCATATAACCTGTCTCAGCCTCAGTTTCCTTATCTGTAAAAATGAGAATAACAATGGCATCTACTTCTCAGGGTGGTTGTGAGGACCAAATGAGGTAATATTTGTGAAGCACTTTGATAAAGTGCTATATAAATGTTAGCTATTATTTTTATGTGGCCATATTTCTACTCCATTAATAATAACTAACATTTGTATTATTGGGCAGCAAGGTGGCGTGGTGGTTAGAGCACCGGGCCTAGCATCTGGAAGACTCATCTTCCTGAGTTCAAGTCACTTCATCCTGTTTGCCTCAGTTTCCTCATCTGTAAAATTAGCTTGAGAAGGAAATGGCAAATCCCTCCAGTATCTTTGCCAAGAAAACCCCAAATGGGGTCACAGAGAGTCAAACACAACTGAAATGACTCAACAAGAACAAATTTGTATTGTGCTTTAAGATTTGCAAAGCAACTTACAAATATTGTTGCTTCTAATCCTCACAACAGTCCTGGGAGTAGGTGCTATTATAAGTAGACTGAAGGAGGCAGCGGTTGGGTGACTTGCCCAAGGTCACATGGCCAGAAAGTGTCTAAGGCTGAAATTGAACTCCAGAATGTCTGACATCCAGGACTGTATCCACTTTGTCACCTAGCTGCCTCATTAGAACACAGATTTTTTTTCTCCCTTCATTTAATTGGATCTAGTCTATTTAAAATAGATGGTCTTTTTAGTTCACCCTGTCAGGATGTCACACAGGATTTAATTTGAGAACTCACAGCTGTATATAATTGTACATAGAAACTCAGAGGGCTGACCCATAGAGAAGAGGCCACTACTGTGGAGAAGACACCGTAGTCCATTGTTCTAGGAGAAGGGCCCCCACTCCCTCAAACAAACCTACTACATCCCCATAGGCATTGAGGAGAGAGAGCGAGCCTCTCCTAGAAGGGAACCATAGCAAAGTACCATGAGTTATGTGAGGTAATCGTGCACTTACTATCTGTATGACCATGGGCAAAGTCATTTTCTACCCCTTGGTCTAATTCTTCAACTGTAAAATGAGATGTAAAATTGTAAAATGGGTCTACTCCAAGGCGTGTTCCAGCTCTAAGTCCTAGAATACTAGGATATTTAGGCAAATAGTGATTGGGGCAGTCATGTTGCATCACCAAAATATAAGCAGTAAGTTAAGGTGAAGTCTCTGGTTCAGATGTTACATTTGTATCATTTTACTCTTGGATACATTGTATCAAACTGATTCATTGTATCATACACTGATTTGTATCATTTCACTCTTCCAATTTTATGTTCCTATTATCTGGTGGGATTTGAAAAGAGCATATACTCCTTTTATCAAATTTTTGGCTGATTCCATACTTACATGGAAAAAAAAAGATATATAGCTTTCAGAATGACCAGGACAATGCCTTGGGCTACTTACTACAGGTGTTCAAATGTCTCATAAGTTTCTTTTCCTTTGATGCTTCAGAGTTCCAGATCCAGCAAGGAAAGCAAACTGCCCACCAGGTTGTCATCCAGGGAGGAGAAGTTGGTTGGTTTCCATTTAATTTTTCAAATCCTCTCTCAAAGGTTGCAGGTTTTATAGCATGAGGCTTATATGATTTCAGTCCCCTGATGTCTTCCTTCTTAATTTTCATTTGGATTCATTTGCCAGCCGTAGCAGTCATTGGCAGTACTGGTGTGTTTCAAATGAACTCCTTTTGTACATATGTGATGAGAGTCCACTCATTTTTGTGAGTGCATGTGACTCACATGGGGGCACTCACATTTTTTTTTGGTAATAAACCACATGATCAGAAATCCCTATGCATTTGGGCTACATGTATTTATTTTGCAGTCAATTACATTCTGATTCCAGTTCAGCTTCCAATTACAATTGATCAAAAAAACGACATTACACATGGCAGTAGTCAATTGCATAACAGTGTTGGTGGGCAGGTGATCAGTTCCTATAGACCTGTTTGTTCATTAGAGATAGATAGTAGACCTGATGGGGCAACTCATCTATGACGAAGCACCGAACGCTAACGTAGGTTGGTGCGTTTTCTGCAACTTACAAGCTTAGAGGGGTGCCGGGAGCATGGAGAGTTGCCATCCACCATACCCAGCATGCTGCCTCTCCTCCCTTAATCCGGGCTAATTAGGTAAAGCTTTGTTGCTAGAAAACTTAGATGTCTGTACCTCAGGATCAGATGGGATGCCCATAGGCTCTGTTTTGGGAGATATGTTCAGAGGAGCATAAGGAGCTCTTAGCTTCTTTCTAAGTGGCCTGGAGGGATCGCAGCAGGATTAATACATGGCTCCCCTCCTTAAATCTGGCATGTGATTATGGATTAGACTTGCTAAGCAGGGCAGTGGTTTAAGCCGTGCCTGGAAAGGGGCAGGTCGTGGTGGATGCTGCTGGCCCGCAGGGACTCAGGATGTGGGCTCAGTTCTGATATTTAGTGTCTTGTCTCCTCAGTTGTTTAGAAGTAGTTGTGGGTAACTCATTGTAGAGGAGAGAGCCCTAGGTTGGAGTCAGGCCAGTCATTTATCCTCTCAGTAGCCAGGGAGGGGCATGAGCTCTAAAATCTATGATCCTTTAATTTGTCCCCCTTTTTGGGGGGTGGGGGGAGCAGGTTTCATTTCAGCAGTGTGAGAAACTCCCAGGGTGCAAATTCACTCCCCCAATGTAGGTCAGCAGCTCCTCTTGGGTTCATAGATCCAGAGCTGAAAGGAACTTCAGGATCCACTTAACCCTCCCCTTCTCCTCACCCCCCCCCACCCCTTAGTCTTTGAACGTTGTCTGGTCACTAACAAGTTAACAACTTGCACGTGGTCATACACCTAATTTGTGTCCGAGCCAGGTTGTGTCAAGGTTCACTTGCTGTTTATAGACATAATTTAGAAACATCCAATGCATATAAACAATTGATAAGAATATCTCACATTTCAATCAATGAACATTTATTAAGCCTCTAACTGGCCCTTTTAGGTTTCCAAAGCACTTTTCAAATATTGTCTCATCTGATCTCACAACAGCCCTTCCAGAGTTTATTCAGAAATGAGGAATGACAGGTTAAGTGACTTGCCCAGGGTCACACAGCTAGTAAGTGGCTGAGGCTGGCTTTGCGCTCAGGTCATTCTGATTCCAAATCCAAGACTCTTATCTACTGAACCGCCTCATTACGCATCTTAGCTATTTACAGAGATTCTGTTGGGTCGTTCATTTTAGTTCTCTTCACGTCTAGTTACTCATTGTATGTACTCATAAGCTCAATTTCCTTAACACTCACTTGTAATTCAGAGCTTTCAAAAAAATTGGACCAACCCTGAGTGTGAATGAGTGAGATTGTACTACATATAAAGTCAATACCAAGGGCAAGGAGTTGATCAATTATCCCATGCCCTGGAAGGCTTCATCACATGGGCATTCCCAAAACATTATGGCAGCATACCTCACGCCGAGATCACCCTCTCTGAGGAGATTGAATGTGTTCCTTGTGTGGCCATTTTCCTCATATGTTTGCACCAGGGGAATTGTTCTTTCCGGGGAGTTATCTCAAGCTTAGCAGTCCTTGAGATCCTGGCTGAAGAACACATTTTCATGAGTTGTTGACTGTCAAATAATCGCCTTCTTCACTGAGCCCTCCCCCACCCCATTTGACTTCTCAGAATAGAATGAGAGAGATTTATAGGACTGTAGAAATGCCATAACCAAAACTGGATCTTTACGAGGTGATGGGATGATCTTCTTCAAAGGGCTTTCTTAAAGAGGTTATCTAATTGTATTAGAGTGGGTCTCATGTAGTAAGTTATAAATAATTAAAACTTGAGTTTAGGGCCTAGAAATCGGAAGTGTGGATTTAGCAAAGACCCCCTTGATTTATTTCAAACATATTCTAATTAGTGGCTCCAATGTAAGGCTTTCTCTAGGACTGCAGTATAGACTATTTGTTGCAGAATTTAACTTAATATGTAATCTTCCTGTTCTGTATACACGTATACCCACATACACATATACATGTCCCAACCTGGAACAATAAACAAAAGCAACCAGGCATATTTCTATAGCATAAAGTAGAGACTGTATCATATACAATTGAATTCAATTTATGGATTTTTTTTCCTGCAAACTATGGGTTTCAAGCTTTTAGCAAAATTAAAATAATAGGGATAGTGATGGAACATGTGGGATTTCCAGAGTAAATATATCTTTGAGACCAGGGTCACAAATTTCCTTAATGATTCCATGATACACTGTAACCAAAAATTGAAATTGATGATATTTATGTAGGAGCAGTGGATTGGGTTCGTTGGGATTGGCCATAGTGTGATTTTGTCAATTAGCTAACATCTTGATTCATTTCTCGTTAAGTCTTTCTCTGTTTCCTTAAGTTGATTTAGCTATTTAGTCATCCCTTAATATTTTTGCTGTGGAAATGATTTTAACAAAAAGGAATTAAAACATCTGTGTGTTTTCAATAAAATGAAGTTCTAGAGATTTTGGCTTTTTTTTTCTCATTTCCTTCTCATTTCCTCACTTTTCTTTGATTCTAGGGCTCCTACTACTCTGACCTTGGGCTTTCCTGCACCAGCCTTCCCTCCAGACCCCTGTCGGCTTCCCAAAATGGAGCGCGGGTCTGTCATCTTCCTTCTCCAGGCTCCCCCTGTCCCCTCTTCCATTGTTGCTTTCAGTTTGATTATTTGAATGATTAACTCGATTTACTGGACACTTCAACCTCAGTGGTACAGTAATCTATGGAGAACAATGACAGTATCTATGATAACAGCTATTTCTATTACATGTGAAAGTATAGGGAACTAGACCTGGTTCATTGCCAAGATTCCCCCTCCCTCCCTCCCTTTTTTTATTTAAAGAAAATTATTAGTGGTATCAGTATGCCCTCCAAAATAACAATGCTATTTTGTATTCATCTTTTTCCAACCTGGGGTGAATAGAATTCGTTTTTTGGGCTTCCCTTCCCTTTCCGGCAGTTGTCACCCATTTTTGGTCCCATTTGTTTTTTTAACATTTTCCTCTCATAAATGTGTCCAGGAAGAGATCTGGAAAGCCCTTTATGTAATCAGAGTTGTTCATCTCTGAGAAGTGGGGAGAAGGATTTCATTTTTTTGGATCACTCCTCTCAATATGTTTCCTGTTTTCTGAGAGTTGGAATTCTGCTCCAGTCCCCAAGGTGTGATTTTTTTTTTAGCTCTGTTTTGTTTTAGATGTGCTTTCTGCTCTGGAAGGAGGGAATTGAGAATAAAAATTATAACAGGGAAAACAACTTCTTTTGGAGGTTGAAATGTCCATGTACTATGCATGCAGTTTTGGTGTTTGAGTGATTCAAGATGGTGGCAGGGTCCAAACCAGGCCTTCTTGTATCCCAGGTGTTGGGTCTCTTTATTTGCTGCCTATAAAGATATCATAGTCATGGGCCTCCTTTTGAGACAGCAAATTCCATTCTGTGGAATGTGGGATTGTAGGCTGGCTCTTATACAGGCTGTCCCAAAAAGTTTTACCCCCCCCATTCAATAATCGTTTTAAAGGTGTAATGGCATGGAACTGTGCTAAGACTTTGGGACATCCTCTATTTCAAGCATGGAAGATAATCTGTCAGGGACATTTTCAGTACACTCATTTTAATGGGACAGTTCCTGAGAGCTGCTATCTTCTCCCTAACGTTGATCCTGCCATTTCTCTTGGCAAATTGGGCTTGTCAGATTCCTGCTGGGTGCTTTGTGGCTCCTTTTTACTGTTGTACCTTGCCACTCACAACTGAGGATTATCAATGGCCACGATCCTATTTCTGGTTTCCCTGCACTTCTCCCTCCATCTGGAAATGCATCTGGTTACTAACTCATACAACAGCATTTTCTTTGACTGTCACTGGGGGGATTTTAAGCCCAGATAATCGCATGTTCTTAGGATGCTTTTCTTTCTGCCTCATTCTTCCATTATTAGGAAGACATGAAACTTCTGCTGGCTATAGATGCTTTCTTTCCACCAAAGATGTGTGTATGAATCCTATCTGTGTGAATTAAAACATATTTCAAATGGACCACAGAAACTTCCTTCAAGCCATGCTTGATTGGAGAACTCCTTTTTCTGGAGGAGGAAAAACACTCACCTCATTTGTTTTGGGTGAAATCCTGATTATTATTACTAGATTATTAATGAAAGAGGAAGTGTGGTGATATGGAAAGGTCACTGGCAGCCTCTAATGTTTATTAGTACTTGTGCGACCTCGGGCAAATCACTGAATTACCATGTGCCTCAGTTTCCTCATCTGTAAAATGAGGGGCTTGGACTCACTGGATTCAGAGGCCACTTCTAACTCCAGAGCTATGGTCTATGCCTGTTCTCTTTCCTTTTTTCCCAACTGTAATGTCATTTGGATGTCATAACCTCATACCCCACAATTCAACACCTTGGATGAATGTCGATGTTTTGTCGTTGTCCAAACTTTTTAAACCAGAAATGTGCTTCTCTCCTCCAGTCTTCCTTTCTTTACAGGGATGTTAAGGCTGCCTGGCGCTACAGGGTTGGTGTGCTCACTTGCCCTCAGTTTCTTTAACTAACTTCAGCGATGGACGTTTGCACTTTAGTCCTGGGAGCACGGGAGCAATTCTTACTCATCACAGTCTGTTCTGTATTGCACACATGCACCAGAATGTTGCAGTCATTGTTTGATCCACTGAATTGTAATGGATTTTACAACTTCACATGTATATCAGTGCCCCTGAGTCACTGTGGCCATGTCTAGATTTTGTATCTATTGGAGTTTGGCATTGCTGAGTAATGTAGGCTGCTCACTGAATTTTTGAATTTGTCCTGGATTCCGTTCTGAAATATTTCCTAGAAAATTGTTGGACAAGAAAGGGGCAACATTGGCCTTCTGCATGGAGAAAGACTGTTTTATAGTGCCTTGAGATGGCCCTTTGGGACACCTGGGATGTCTAGGTGAATTTGAAAATTGGCCCTTCAGATACTTTCTTTTATTGCTAGACTGAAAGTTCAAGGTCTTGCCAGTCAGGCTTTTGCTATGCTGGTAAAACAAAACTGTCTTAAAGGAACTATGAGATATTTCTGTAGAATTCTCCCAGATATCGTCTGATTCACACTGTGACTTATCCAGGATTATAAATCACTAGCAAAAACAGCCCAGTGTTTCCTGTAAGGGAAATAATCAACATGCGAGTTATTTGAAATATATCGGCAGTTAACAATGTTTACTTCAGAGCCACAGTAAACTCCCACTTATCCAGAACGTTTCATAGAATCACAGAGCTAAAGGAGACCCCTGGCTTTCAATTCATCAAAATGTGTACAGTCAATCAATCATTAGACAATTATTAAGCACATACTACGTACCAGTCCCGTGCAAAGTGCTGGGGATGCAAAAAGAGGCAAAAAAAAAAAATTCCCTGCCCTCAGGAAGCTGATAGTCTAACGGAGGAGCCAACCTGCAAACCAATACAGACAAAGCAAGCTACGTGCGAGATAGATAGGAAGGTGCTGTGATAGCCACAGAAACAAAAGGGTCGTGGTGAGCTCACATTCTCTTAGAAAGAATGGGTTGAGATTTAGTGTGAAGTATTTTAGGGTCATTGAGGAATTAACATACAATAAAAGTCAACATTAAACTTGGCGACATAATTGAATGTTTGAGTCTAAACTCAACATCCTACATGTTCTGCCAGTATGTCATCGTGGTGAATCCCCCGATGTGTGAATACATATTATGCAATATGTATTATTGCCTATTACACTGAAATCAAAATGTGGATTCTCTGTGCTTTCTGACTGCTTGGATTCTAGATAAGTGGGTGTTTCCTGTAGCATGGTTTGGTGGTTGGTTTGTTTTTTAAAGACTTTAATCATCCGAAATGGAGTTGCCAGCGTGTGGTTGGCAAGATCTCCCATTGGACTTCTGCACGGACCTTTATTTGGTTGCACACTTTTTGGAAGTTGGAAATGCAGTTTCCACACTAACCTTGCATGCATTGAGAACAGTCCTTTGAAAGTGACTGTCCATCATGTCTCCATTTTCCTCCCCATCTTCCTCACTTTCCTTTCGGCCTGTGTGATGATTCTGCACCGTGGTGTCTGTATTTCTCTTCAGTTTGGACCCAGAGCATGCTCTTCCTGTTCTGAAGTTCTCTTTTAATTGTAGGCATCCCTGTATGATGAGAGCATATACAGTGGGAGTCGACGATATAGCGCCTCCAATTCACATCCAGTAAGATATTTCTGTGTTCCTCTGCTGGCCCGCATGCTCTTTCTGTTTGTTGTCTATTTCCTGATACCTTGAAACTCCTCGTGAACACCAGCCCTCTCCGGGCTCTTAGATGATTGATGATGCAGTCACTGAATCACTGGCTCGTAGGAGGGACCTTAGAGGCCATCGGTGATCTCCTGTCTGCCGATCACAAAGTTTAGCAACTTGACTGCTGGAATTTTAATGTTATGGAGTCACATGGGTTTTGAGTCTCACCTACTTTCTGAATCTTATGAGAATGGACTTTGGCAGCTGATTGAGGCTGGACTGGAGTGGGAAGAGATAGGGTAAGGACAAGCACTGAATTGGAAGGCTTTTCAGATCTCCCCACCCTCTCGTTGCCTCTGAATCTCACTCTGTTTATACTCCTGTTTACATTTGAAGGATTGATGTCCCAAAGCTCTGGCCCTCTGCATCTGTGGAAGAACATGGCTCGGGGCTTGGTCATTTCTTTCCTGAAATGAATGGCCACAGAAATAGGTTTCTCTTTTCAATATCCTTCTTTTACCATTGACAAAAACAGCACCATCTGACAGGCAGTTTTGATGAGAGGCAGTGTGGTGTAGTGGGGAGGGCACTGGACTGGGAGCCAGGAAGAGTTGGGTTCCCATCCCACCTCAGATACTTAATGGCTATGTGGCCCTGAGCAAATCACTTCTCAAGTCTGTAGGACATGCCTCTGAAGTCAGCCAACAAGCATTTATTAAGCACAGTCTATGTGCCAGGCCATGTGCTAAACACAAAGAAAGGAAAAAAATAAACAGCCCCATCTCCAACTTTCATTCTACTTAGAACTCCAGCTCATTTTCAAATGGTTACCAAGCCCTCCTTCTGCTGGTACTTGCAAAGTTGATTTCTGCACCCGGGCCTGAGATTTTATATTTTGGTTTCTTAAATTTCCTGTTAGTAGATTTAGCCCCAGGGTCCTAAACTGTCCATGTATTTTTGGATCCTGACTGCTGTTTAGTGTTAGCTCTTTAGCTGTGTGACCCTGGGCAAGTCACTTAACCCCATTGCCTAACTAAAAAAAAAAAACCAACAACAAAACCAGAGCGTTAGCTCTCATTCCCAGCTTTGCATCATATGCAGATTTGAGAAGCATTCCTGCTGACAGCTTTCCTCAAGCCATTGATGAAAACATTAAAAATGAAAACAGGGCCAAGCTCAGATCCCTGCAACGCTCCCCTGGAGACCCCTTCATGGGACCAGTGATAACGACTGCTCTTTGGGGTCTGGCTAATCAGCCCGTTCCAAATGTAAATATCTCACCTGATCCGGTATATTTTTCTTTCTCAATTTAAAGAAATGATTGCTAAAGGAGCAGCCTGACATAAGATATAAAACACTGGGACTTGTCATCAAGAAGCCCTGCCTCTAACACTTGCTAGCTGGGTGATCATGAGTAACTCATTTAACTTGTTTCTTCATCTATAAATTGAGAATAATATTTTTATTATCCACCTCAAAAGTTGCTGAAGCTCAATTAAGAAACTGTTGGAAAGCTTTCTGCAGATGCCAGGCTCTTTTTAGTGTTGTTGGAAATCATTTCTTCATATTTATTGCTAGTAAAATGTTTCTAATACACTAGTTCCTTCTAAATAAAATTTTAAATCCTATCTCAGTTGCTTCCTATCTGTGTGACCTTGGGCAAGTAATTTTACTTCATGAACCCTCTGTTTCCTGTATGCAAAGGGAAGGGTTGACCGGATGGTATCTCAGGGCTCTTGGGCACCTCTGTGGTAGTGCCATAGAAAGAACCCTGGGCCAGGAGGCAGGAAGTCCAGAGTTCAGATCTGGCCTCTGACACTTACTAGCTGTATCACCCTGGGAAAGTCACTTCATCTCTTTGCCTCAGTTTCCTCTGGTATAAAATGAGATAATGATAGCATCTACCTCCCAGAGTTGTTGTGAGGACAAAATAAGTTATTTGTAAATAGTGCTTAGCACAGTGCCTGACACACAGTAGGTACTACTTATGAAGTTATTATTATCATTAGAAATTAATTCAGACAACACTTTGTGGGAAGGGCAGCCCTTCCACTGAGGTCCAGAGGCTCTCCCACATTCCAGGCTTCCTCACTTGCTCTAATCCCTGGTGCCGGTTGGCTATGGATGATTTTCTCATTGGTATATCTCTTCCCTGCTGGTGCCCACTGTGCCGTTTTGAAGGCAGTTGGGGTTTATAATGTACTTTGTGGTTTTTGGAGAAAGGAATGATGTGTGTTTAGCATCGCCCCAACCATGACCTGTTAGAGCTGTAAGGACCTTGGAGATCTGACAGAAGAGAAAACTGAGGTCCAGGGAGGAGCCAGTGCTTGGCCAAGGGCACACAGGGATAGAAATGGGACAAGAAGCTAAGTCTCCAGCTTCCCAGAATTTTCCCACAACATGTTAACATAAAGTAACAATATTCAAGCATTTCTACATTGTGGTTCCCTTTTGTTCACAGAGGGCAACATTATTCATATTTCAGGGGGGGTGCAGAAGGAGAGAAAGAGCATTTATTAAACACCAGCTAGGTGCTGGGCACTGTACCAAGAGTTTTACAAATATTATCTCATTCGATCATTACAACAAACCTTTGAAGTAGATGCTATTATCATCCCCATTTTAGTAAACTGAGGCAGACAGGTTAAGTGACCTACCTAGGTCACATATTGAGTGTCTGAGGCTGGATTTGAACTCAGGTCTTACTGAGTCTATGCCCAGGGCTCTATAAACGGAGGCTCTTTCAGAGGGATATTAAGACCAAAGCTTTATTTTACCCTGAGCTCACTAAAGTGATGTTGCCTCTCGGTGGCTATTTAAAATTACTTTAAAGACTTTACAGTCAAGACTTGACCGTCAGAAGGATTTAGAGAAAGCCCTGGATAAGGGATCTGCATGGGATGAAGAGTCCAGGCCTAGGAGGAGTATCTCCAGGGCCAAGGGTAATCACGGCTTAGTGACTTTGGGGACATAGTTCCAAATCCCTGTCCAGAAAAGCAGGACTAGTTCCCAGCTCCTCCAGCAGAGCAGGAATGTACCTGCTTTCCCACAGCCCCACCAGTGATTTCCATTTCTGTCAACTTTGCCGATCTGAAGGTGTGAGGTGGAAGTGAGTCAGGAGTCAGATCCTGACTCTTCTAGACAACCTTGGGCCTCGGTTTCTTCTATAAGATGATGGAGTTGGGCCAGATGATCTCTAAGGTTCCCTTCAGCTCTAAATCCTGTGATCCTTTGAGACTGGGTCGAGATTTGGACCCATTAACAGAGAACCCATTGGTCTGGGAGAATTCATGTCTTGGCAAACAGTCACATCTTGACCCATTGCTTAGAGCCAGCTCTGTGCTAGGCCCAAGCATCAAGAGGCCCTGCCCTCAAGGGTCTTACATTCTAATGGGAAGTCAACCCCTATAAATCAGAATAAACAAGCTAAAGTAGAGAGCAGCTAGAGAGACCTCAGAGGCCATCTTTTCTAACTCTCTGATTTTATAGATGAGGAAACTGAAACCCAGGGAGTTTTTTGACTTGCCCAAGGTCACATGGTACACGACAGATGTAGGATTTGAACTCAGGTCTTTTGGAGCCAGAGCTGGTACTTCTGCTGCAATAGCACAGTCCAAAGAAAGAATATACATCTGCTACTGAAGGAAATTCTACTTAATATCCCTAATGCTTCTTGGAGGTGTCAACTAATGTTTTTATAGACAAGTATCCCAAGTAGCTTTTGAATGGCCAATAATAACAGCCATCATCTATACAATCTCATTGCACCAAGCACTTCACAATTGTTGTCTCTTTTGATCCTCACAACAACCCTGGGAGAGAAGTGCTATTATTATCCCTATTTTATAGATTGGGAAGCTGAGGCAAACAGGTTAAGTGACTTGTCCAGGTTCACACAGCCAGTAAGTGAGGCTGGATTTGAACTCAGGTCTTCCAGATTCCAGGCTGGGTGCTCTATCCACCATCCCACCTGGCTGATCTTTTTCTTTGCCAAGAAAGGGAAATGAGAACTTTTTTCATCAGTGAAAGATATGCGATAACATGCATTTAATGGAATAAAACCCAGAGGCTCTCTTTGTCCAAAGATTCATTCGTTCAGAAAGTCAGCAGACCATCAAGCGCCTACTTCATCTAAAGATCCCAGGCATTCAGGCCAAGTGCCTAATAAATGCTTATTGATTGCCGTCTAGGTGCTAGAGATACAGAAATGAATGAGAGGTCCCTGCCCTCCTGTGACGTGTAATCCATTAGCTTCTTTGATTAAATCCTGTGTTGGGTGAATGAGTCAAGATCTGAAGCCAGATCCTGAGGTTTTTGTAGATTAAACAAGAGAAAAATTGCTGCCTGGGTGCTGGGGTCCATATTAAAATCGAAATTGATTTTGTTCCTATTTGCAGGGACAGTGGAAAGTAATGATGGTAGAGGGAAACTGATGGGGTCATCACTGTCTGCCATTATCTCAATGGAGGCTTTGGTTTAAATGACTGTGGGCGGTTCTCTGATTGTAAAGAAAGGGGCGCGGGGGGGGGGGGGGGGGGGGGGGGGTCCACTTAGGACTGATTGGCTGCCTTTCCTAAGAAATCCACTCTTGCCTTCTTGTTCAGCCTTCTTTTATGCTTGGGACCTTCACTTGACTAACACTGCCCATGCCCGCCCATCTTTGACTGAAAAGTCTAACATTTTCCTCATCCTGTGTGTTCCCGCCCCTGCCTGGAGCTTCAGCTTCTCTTGACTCTGCCCTTCTGCTAACTGCCCTCCTTTATTTCTCTCCCCTGTGTTCTGGGGTGTGTGCGGGTAGCCCTCCGAGTACAGCGGCTACCTGGGCTCCGGATCGCGGGCATCCTCCAGAGCCAGCTCGGCTCGTGCAAGTCCAGTGGTGAGCACGTTTTTATTTCTCTCTCGCTCTGCTTTCTCATCTTTTCTTTCTTCCTTTCCTTTCGTGTGGCGTGTTAGAACTGGGATGAGGGCTCTGGAGACTGTTAGGCTTTCTTTCAGCGTGTTTTTTGATATTAGCAGAAGAGATGGAAGCTCCTTGAGGGCAGGCACTGGGTTTTTGTTAGCGTTGTTTGTGACTCCCAGGATTTATAAAGAGCCGGTGCAGTGTGTGTATCTCCTAAGCGATGATTATGCCGCTGTCTAAGCTGTGTGACCTTGGGTAAGTAAACGAAGCTTTCTGTACTGCGGTTTTCCTCAACAGAGCTGGACTAGTTCACCTGTCAGTTCTGGAAATGTTGTGATTCTGCTGGCTCTCACCAACTCCATCTAGTCTGCCATCAACAAATCTGGTATTGCCAAAAATTATGCGGCTTTTTCAAGAATTCATTTTTGATCGCAGTTCAAAACGTGGACAGTTCTCAAATAGTGATTTCCCTTTTGGCTCCCAGCTCCATTTGCAGGCCAGTGTCATTGCTATTCCAAGCAAGCGGAGCTCCTGAAAAGATTCTGGCTGTTCTGTGATATTTACTGACAATAAGACGTGTCCATTACATGTTCATGGATTTCTATAAAAATGGCTGAATTAAGAAAAAGTGTTGGTGTTTAAAGAGTTGACTTCTAGGTATTCAAAATACTTACCTATTGCTACCTCATTCTTTCTTTCTTTCTTCCTTTCCTTCTTCCTTCCTTCCTTCCTTTCTTTCTTTCTTTCTTTCTTTCTTTCTTTCTTTCTTTCTTTCTTTCTTTCTTTCTTTCTTTCTTTCGAAGCAAACAGGGGTAAGTGGCTTGCCCAGGGTCACACAGCTAGTAAGTGTCTCAGGTCAAATTTGAACTCAGATCCTCCTGACTCCAGGACTGGTACTGTATCCATTGCACTACCTAGCTGCTCCTTGCCTCATTCATTTTTGAACCATTATGAATAATTATCAGATCTTAGGTCTAGAACTGACAGGGCTTCAGAAGCCATCTAGTGAGACCCCCTCATTTTACAGATGAGGAACTGGGGACTTACCCAGGTTAAGTGACTCACCTAGGGCCACACCAACCCTGCCTTTGATTCCAGAGCCAAGGCTCTTTCCACTGTGACACACCTCCTCCCAGCTCAGGTAGAAGCAACTGTCATTTGCAAGAGAAAAGAAGAAAAAAAATCCTTATCTGGAATATTTCAGTAACAGACTATATTCTTTGATAGGCAGCTAAGTAGCACTATGCTGCACAGAGCAGTAGGTCTGGAGTCAAGACCTTAATTCAAATGCAGTCTCAAACACTTACTAGCTATGTGACCCTGGGCAAGTCACTTCAACTCTGTTTGCTTCAGTTTCCCCATCTATGAAATGGTGATTATAGCAGCACCTACTTTCCAAGGTTGTTCTTAAGATCCAATGAGATAATATTGTAATGCCTAGTATGTAGTAGGCACTATATAAATGTTAGTGATTATTATTATTTTACAATGAAGATGAAGGATACTCTAGGTTACCTATTTCTCATTTCCTGAAATGATTCCTAAAATCAAAGGCAGCTTGTCCCGGTTCGTATCTGAATGGCATTGCTCAAAGATCTCTTAGATTAGAGACATTCCTTTGCTACATTCTTCTCATAGACAGTGTTATGCCTTCGGAGTCTTTGGACATTCTGGGCTGTTCCCAAGTGTTTCATGCTATCTTTAGGAAAGGGAGAGAGTCATATTCTGCTATAGGAAGTTAAGTAACGGCAAATCTCTGTTTAAGTGAGGACTCATTTAAAAGACATAAGATGATGGCATTAGTCAATAACAAATGCATCGTATTAAGTATCTGTTTTTAAAGAGCACGTGTATATGACTAATATGGACAGAGGCTTTGCATGACTGTACATGTGTAATCCATATCAAACTGCTCGCCTTCTCAAGGAAGGGAGGGGGCAGGAGAGAATTTGGAACTCAACATTTTAAAAAATGAATGTTGAAGAATTTTATGTGTGATTGCAAAAAAAAATAAAGTATTTTTTAAAAGAGCATGTGTTTAGTTTACAATGGGATGTCATTGTAAACTAAATTTCCATGCAAAGTATTTTTGAGGAGATGCTATTTGCCATAATTCTTTATAGATTCTTTTAAACAATAATGAGATGGTGGCTTTTTTTTTAACTGGGCCAGGCACATCAATTGATGCAAACATTTTTACTTTGAAATAAACATTTTCATCCTACAATCAGTCTCTTTTCTTCTGCTCTCGGATTTGTTTAGAGCCATTTTTTATAGGTATTTGGAGGGGTTTGAGGGAGAGTTTGAGCAAATCACTGCTTTTACTCCGCCATCCTGGCTCCCCCTTCAACCTCTTTTCTTTAGAGATGAAAACAATGTGCTGTCAGTAGATACAGCCTGGTCCTTCAAAGTATTTTAAAATTCTGATCCTTCTAGTGTTAAACTTTTAATATAGCAAATATTTTCTAAATTTGTCAACCTAGAAATCCTCTTTTACTTAAACTTGTTAAATGTGTGAGTCTTTCCTGTTGTTTTGAAACCTGCCTTAGAAAGTAGGCAGAGCAAAGCCAGAATGCCAGTATGTATGATAGCTATCCTGATTAGACAAATTGTCAGTAGAAATAATATCAGAGGGGGTAGCTGGATGGTGGAGTGGATAGAGCACCAGCCCTGGATTCAGGAAGACCTGAGTTCAAATGTTATCTCAGATACTTGACACTTACTAGCCGCATGACCCTGGGCAACTCACTTCACCCCATTGTCTTGTAAAAGAAAAAGAAATAGTATCACCTAATTTTTATATGGTTATACTCTCATTTGATCCTCACAACAACCATGGGATGTAGGTGCTATCGTTATCTCAATTTTCCATATGAAGAAACTGAGGCTGAGAGGAACTTAATTATTTACCTAGGGTCACATAGAATGTCTGAGGCAGGACCGAGCTGGAGGGGAGGGGCCTCAGTCCGATCCATAACTGAAAGAGTCTGTGGCATACCTGATAACTGTGTTCACTCAGTGTTTGCTTGAAGACTTCCATTGAGGGGAAACTCACTACCTCCCAAACAGCCATCATTGTTAGCAAGGATTCTGCAGCCTCTGTAACTTCCGCCCCATTCGCTGTTCCTAGTTTTACCCTTCTGGGCCACACAGAACAAACCAGACCGTCTTTGCGGTCCGTAGCCCTTGAAATGCTTGGCCGCACCACGCCTGTCTTCTTCCCAGGTTAAGCACCCCAAGTAACACGCTCTGTAATCTCAGCCCCCTGCTCCCTGTGGCCTCCAGGAGCAAACACAAAATGCTCTGTTTGGCATTCAAAGCCCTGAATGGGTAGATTGGCCCCCTCCAGCAATCACTCCTATGACCTAATTTACTTTTTTCCCCCTTGTCCTAAAAGCTAACTTTGGTCCAACACAAGCCTGCCACCTAGTGTTTGAATTCGGAACACCCAGATCAAGCGGCTGCCTGGTGTGTCTATGTTGGGCTCTTGTTTGAGGTGACCGGACTTATGAAATCATAGGGGTTCGTAGATTTGGTTTGGACTTTGCTCCATCCGACGTAGCAGTACAACGTCATTTTCAGGAATATGCCTTAGAGAGAGCCAAGTGACCTTTGGGCGTATGTCCCAACTGCTCACAGCACCGTTGAGTATTTTGAAACCCTGAGGCTGAGTGTCCCCTGGGAGCTCCCACTCTAATAAGGTGACTCACATTTACTGAGCACTTTATACCTAATTGATAGGCTGGACGTTCCTGTACAGTGGAGTGTGGTTAGGGAGCGCTAAGAGATTATGGAGCACAGATTCTGGGCCCTTTGGGAGGACTGGGGGGATGCCCTCATCACCAGGTCTGGGGATGTTAGATGTTAGATGCTCATGTGGGAGAAACTCTTTTCTTACTCCTAAAGGAAAAAGAAGAACTCTTTCTGTGTTTGAATATTAAAATGGAGAGAAATCATCATCCTTGTGATTCAGATTATGAGAATCAGGACATTTGTCACATACTATACACATGTTGGTGTGTGTCCAGCCCCACTCTATGAGATAAGACCCAACCTTTCCCGAGGAGTTTATTAGACAGACTTGGGATATGACTCTCAAAATGTAGCTGTCCTTACCGGGAGGAGCGTACATTCTTTTGGAAGAAACAGCATGTGGAAATATACAGAAAGTGAATGCGAGGTCATTTGGAGAAAGAGGCTCTGGTAACTGGGGGCTGGAGTGGGGTGGGAGCTGGCCTGGGAGAAGCTGGAAATGTGGCTGTTGACATATATGAGGAGAGGGTCCTAATGGGCCAGGTGCCCTTTTCCTCTGGAGGGACTGTCTGGGACCTAGAGCCTGCCAGGAGTAGGGACGACTTTCCCAGTCTCTGGGGACGCCTGGTGTCTGCAGCCATCACCCCCATTACTCTGTCTTCCTTCTGCAGCTCCCGTGAACCGTGGTCCAGCGGCTTGATCACCCCCACATCCCTTCTCTCTTTCCAGATCTGTCTGTGCCACTGCCCTGGCTCAGCTCCTTGTGGGGTGGGGATGGTAATGCCTGCCAAGGCCAGCCCACCTTCTCTTTAGCCTCCCCCTTCCTACCCAGGAATGCCAGTCATTCCTTTGGACACTGTTTTCTCTGGCTTGGCCAGTATGTGACCCCAAGGCTCAGGTTGGCACAAGCAAGGATGGCCAAAGTTAAAATTCTATCATTTAAAAGGCTCCACCTCTGGTCCCCAGTCCTGAAACTCCTCCGAGGGCTCTTCATGGCAACGTGAGGGGCTGGAAGCAGGGGCCAGTCAGGAAAAGGGGAAAGATTCGCTCAAATGGTGGGTAGCATTTAAGCTCCTGGAGGCCAGAGATTGTTTCGTTCTCGCCATTTCACCTGTGGCACTGGGCACAGTGCTGGGCACTGTCTGTCCAAAAGTACTAAGCACCTCCTTGTGTCGAGCGATCCGAGTTATTAGAAGCTAAAAGCACAGAGCAGGCGCGCATTTAAAGGTTTGGTTGATCAGTGAGAAAGAACTTTGGCCAGAGTTGGCATTTTTTAAATAAAGTTTAGATGTTAGGTTCAATTAAGTTTTAGCTTCTTTGATGAATAAAAATAACATCCTTTTGGATTGAATATTCAACAAGTGTTTGCCTTCAAAAATTAAGTTCCTGGTGCACACCCTATGGAAATAGGCCTGGGCAGGCCTGTGTATGAGATGTGGGTCAGTGGAGAGTTGGGGACTGAGATGATGCAAGGGGGGGATTCAGGAGGTTCACCTGGGCAGCAGGATGCAACAGGAGTTTGATGGATTCGTGAAACTCAGTGTAAAAGATTGATCTGATCATCTGCCACAGAACTTCCTTGTTGGGATTATTGTCATTCTGGCCTTCTGTCTTCTCCTTCCTCCATACTTTTGCACTGGCTGTGCCCCACATCACGAACGCTGTACCCACTCACCCCACCACCTCTTATTTCCCTGACTTTCTTCAAGACTCGGTAAAAATCCTTCCTTCTGCAGGAGGCCTTTCATGGCTCCCCCCAGCCCTTACTGTCTTCTCCTCCCAGAGTCCTCTCCCCTTCCAAAGTACCTTCTATCTGCTCTGTATATGTTGCATTATCTGCTTAGATGTTTCCAGGTTATGTCCCCCATTAGAACATATGCGCTTGAGGGCTGTTTGTCCATCCTTGTCTTACTGTCCCCAGCACTTGGCCGGCACACAGTAAGTGTTTAATAAATGTTTGTTGACTGACTCAACTGGACTTTCATTTGGTCTGCCAGGGAAGTCTCTCTATAGTTCTAAACCATCGATACCTCAGAGCAAGGGGTTTTCACTGCTTGCCTACATTCCTCATGAAAGAAAATGCTCATCTTCAGTTACAATTTAGTAAAAATGAAGATGTAACTTTTTCCTATGCAAGGTCATGGACCCCCTGAAATCTTTCTACAGGTCCTTGGGCCCCAGGTTAGGAACCCCGGTTTAGCATCTGAGCTCTCTATGGTTTGAAACTGAAGGAACATATCCAAGGGAAGGAAACACTATACATGCGTCATGTAGTGGGAGGAGCCCAGAGCTCCGGGTTGGCACCCCCGGCAGCTGAGACCAAAGGGGACACTCTGTGGCGCCATGTTCTAGGTGAATAAAATATTTGGGCAACACTGAATGGCTGCTGGGTCATCTTGCAAATACCCGCAGCACAATAATGCAGCACACAAAGGGTTAAGTTGGCATATTTGTATGATAGAGAGATTTTTAAAAAACCAAACCTGGCAAACAGTTCAGATCAAGCCTGCAGTCTAAAAGCTCCAGGGGTTTCACTTTGTTACTCTGACTTGTCAAAAAGAGGCAGTAATTCCATATTTGGGACGGTGGAGTTGCATGCTTCTACTTGGCTCCCAATTGCACCAAGGCTTATGTTACTGGAATTTCTTAGTGGGTGCCGGCTCTGAAAACATGGCTGACCTTGTGGAGGGGTCACTTCCAAAGGACTTGCTTTGTTTCAAATGGAGTTTTTGAACTATCATCCTTGCTTGGGTGGGAGATGCCTTGGAGAAAGAGAGACAGACAGACAGACAGAGGTAGAAGGAGAGATTGTCACCTGTTTTTTGTTGGTCATGCCTTAGGACAACCATATTAAAGCCATCTGTCCCTCCTACAGTGGAAATATGGTTAGTTAGCTCATTCCTGATAATAGCTAGCATTCATATAATACGTTAAGGCTCATAGAACATTTTGTATCCACTATCTCATTTGATGGGCGGCTAGGTGGTGCAGTGAATAGAATGCCAGCCCTGGAGATCGTAGGACCTGAGTTCAAATGTAGCCTCAAACACATAATTGGTGTGTGACCCTGGGCAAGTCACTTAACCCTCTTTGCCTCAGTTTCCTCACTTGTGAAATGAGCTAGAGAAGGAAGTGACGAACCACACCAGTATCTCTGCCAAGCAAACCCCGAAGGAGGTCACAGAGAGTCAGACACAACTGAAACGACTGAACAATAGCCTTCTTTGACCCTCACAACACCCCGGTGAAGTAGATGCGCCTGTTCCTCATTTCACAGGTGCTTGCTGTGTGCCTGGCACTATGGTAAGTGCCAGGGATACAGATACAAGCAAGATGGTCCCTGCCCTCAAAGAGCTTACATTCTAATGGGGGGGGGTTGTGGAGTGTCTCTTCTAAGAAGGGAGAGCTGAGGAGCAAGTCAGCTGGTGAAGAGATGATGGGAAACGGATTCAAATTCAGTTTATTGGCCTGCTCACCTCATTGGTCATTCTGTAATTAACATCTAATAAGAAACCTTCACGTGTGAAATAAGCATTGTTCTCCATTCTGTCTTCTGTAAAGGTAATTATGTGCCCGTAGAGCTGGTCTAGCCTTTAAAATGGAATGAATTTCAGTCCCCTTGGTAAAATGTGAGGTTGCATTTATTAACATCAGTACATAGGCAGCCTTGGCAAGCTGAAGGTCCTTCAGAACTCTCATGCGCAGAATGGGGTTTAATAATCCTAGTTAATGCTGACTAGAGTATCTACAACACTGAGATTTGCAAAATGCTTTAATGTGATTCCTTACAACAGCTGTGAGGTAGGTGCTACGAATAGCTCCATTTTACAGAGGGAGAAACTGTGGCAGAAGTGATATGACTTACTCAGGATCCACAGTTACTAAGTGTAAGACAGATTTTGAACTCAGGTCTGAGAAGCCTGACACTCCATCCTCTGGGGGTACACAGCTGCCTCAGGCAGAGGAAACCCAGCTGAAAATGTAGATGAACCAATTATTGCTTTAAAATATTTAATATTTGCCCACTGAGTTCTTTTTTTTTCCTTGACAGGTTGAAGAAAGGCCAGAAAAGGACTTTGCTGAGAAGGTGAGTGTTTTTATCTTGTCATTTTTGTTTTAATTATGGCTTTCAGAATTCATGGATGAAATGGACAAGAAAAAAGCCTATTATTAGGTTTGCAGAAAGAGGAGAAGAGGCAGCTGAGAATTAGATGGGGTTGCTGTGGGAAATCCTGAGCAAGCCCCCTGGGGCATCCCCCTGCATGTTTCTTCCCGTGTTGGGCAAGATGGTCAGAGTGTGTGGCAGGCCAACTTGGGCTCCATTGGTGAAACCTTGGGCTGTGAGCTGCCTTCTTGCTACAGGCCACCCACTGCCCAACTGCCAACTTACTGGCTTGGAAACCACTGTAAAGGGTTGGGATGTGTTTATAACAATCCGTGTGGGTTTAGAAACGGTTTGATCCGTTGGATAGGAGAAGACAATTTTCAGTTCTGAAAGCGGTCTCTTAAAATGTTTTAGGGATCTCGTAACATGCCCAGCTTATCGGCAGCCACATTGGCCTCTCTGGGTGGAACCTCCTCTCGGAGGGGCAGTGGGGACACTTCCATCTCTGTGGACACCGAGGCCTCCATGAGGGAAATCAAGGTAAGATACCGTTGAATGGTTCCTGACTTGAAACTGCCTTTTAGAAAAACCAGCCACTGAGAAGGAGGAGAGCCTTATTTCACCCTCTGCCTCCTGTCATGTTGTCCAGACCCAAATCCAGAATCAGAAAAAGACTCCGAGTAGGAGGCCCAACAGCTTGTACATACAAAGGAGACCTCGGAACAGTCTGTGCCAAAGTCACTGTCGGTATTAATGAAGCCTTTAGTCATAAGAAGATGCAAGCAGAGCAATCCCCAGCCTGAGCAGAGAGCCGAATTGCTGCATTGTTTGTACTCAGCAGCTCCTGTGGCTAAGCGCCATGCTGGGCACTGCAGATACAAAGACGACAGCAAGTCCCTGCCTTCAGGGAGCTTCCAGTCCATCAGCAAGCACTTTAAGTGCCTACTGTGTGCCGCCTTTACTAGACACTGGAGTTACAGAAACCAAAGAGTTCTTGGTCTCAGGGAGATCTTGAAGCTCTTATTAAGTCCCTAGTGGGCACCAAATGCTGGGGACACCAAAAAAACCCGGTCCTCACTTTCCAGGAGCTTCTTCAAGCAGTCAGGCAGCATTTTTCATAATGGTGGAGGATGGAGGGGGTGGGAGCAAGAGGCAATAGTATAACTGCTCCTGTCTGCAGGGCTGCCTCCCAGAGCACAGAGGGGGCATTCGGCTGTGATTTATTAAGCCATCATTAAGAAACATCCAAGCGCAGGCTAGATCGCAGGGTGGAATTCTGTCTTGGAAGAATGTTATTTTAGGATTACTTGCTTTCATCCCTATGGTATTTGTTCCCATGAGGCACCATTTCCTAAGGGTCAGAGCTGGAGGGGCCGTAAATGGTCGCCTCATCCAGTTGTCTCATTTTGTAAAAGAGGAAATGGGCCCAGAGGTAAAATGACCTGCCCAAAGTCACATGAGTCATAATAGCAGAATGGGGATTTGAATCGAGACCCTTGACCCCAGATCCATCATCGCCTTCGTGCCAAGCAATTTCAAAATCCTAAAAACAACATCATGGAAGGTACACCCTCACTTCCGTCCTCATGGTATCATTTTTATTATCTATGTAAGTTTTGCCCTTCGGGAAACTAGCAGCTGAAATGCCTCCCTGGGCAGGACACGCCCGGACCCAAAAGCCTGTCGTCAGCCCCGAGTTTTGTTTGTGACTCTCGTCAGTCTGTTCCTGTGACATCCTTTCCTGTTTTTGCCATTTTTCCTCAGGAGATCAATGAGTTAAAGGACCAGATTCAGGACGTAGAAGGCAAATACATGCAGGGCCTGAAAGAAATGAAGGTATCCGTCGGCTGCATGGCGGCCATGTGTGATGGATGATATTAACCCACCTAACTTTGTCAGAATTAAAACTCAATCTACATGCTCGTCACCAAAGCCACGTTGGGGATTTTTCCTAAAAACTTCACTTAGAGAGGCAGGGATGCCACCCCATCGGACTTCCCTTTAACTGGTCGTCTTTCCAAACAGAGCGCAGACATCATGTCATATCAAAATGATCTGATAGAAATGGTCACTAAGGTGTGCTCGCTGGTGCATGCGTGGAGGATATGGTCTTGTTTTTCTGCACGGTTGGTGGACCCTGCATTTCCATTGCATTTACATACAGATGGTACATCTAGCTTTTGTTACTCCCATGATGACCTAGGGTGTTAGGGTTCCAGCGGGCTCGAGGGGATCCAACGGGGACTTTCCACACCCAAACCCAGCAGGATCGAGGGCTCTCAGCAGACTCCTAAGGTGGGGTGCGTTTTAGGCAGAGCTAAACATTTTCAGCAGGAAAAGCCGAGACTCTCCTCATCTCTTTGGTTTGTATTGGCCTCATAAACCTCACACAAGGTTCCTCCTGGTGTTTTAATCAGGTTGGTGACAGCCCCTTCACTGGCGTGTCTGGCTGACTGGTGATAGATCAGAAATGTCAAGCTGTCCCCTTATGAGAGCAGCCCTCAGAATCTATGCTCCACTGAATTTGTCTCAGGGCATTTCAGCGTCTGCCTGGAAAATCAGATGCTACTTTTACGAGTGAGATTGTTGCTGAGGTCTCACGTGAACTGCACTGTTCTTTCTCTGGTCTCCTACACTCATTGTTTGTGGCTTGACCTGAGGAAAAGATGAGGCACATGCTTTTCAGTAACTGTTTAGAAATCACAGGGAGGTGAGTTTAGCCAAGAGGAGTCACTGAATAGCTTTTCTAGGGTCACAAGTAGACCGAGCAGATGAGTGTCTCAGCCCCATGAGCTTGGATGCGCAGAGTAGGTCATCTACAAAGCCGTATTAGATATAGCTGTATGAGATATGTAGATATAGAGATATATCTATAGATATTAGATATAGATTAGATGTGCAGAGTTTATGAGGTCACCTGGAAAGCCATGGTAGATATAGCTGTATGAGATATGTAGATATAGAGATATATCTATAGATATTAGATATAGATTAGATGTGCAGAGTTTGTGAGATCATCTACAAAGCCATATTAGATATAGCTATATGAGATATGTAGATATAGAGATATATCTATAGATATTAGATATAGATTAGATGTGCAGAGTTTGTGAGGTCACCTGGAAAGCTGTGGTAGATATAGATTATGGCATGATTCTATTTTGGTTCAGCTTTTTTTTTTAACTGAATATGCTTGGGACATCTGTGACTTAACAATAGCTTGTACGTGATTGGATCATAGGGTGAGACATGGAAGGGATCTGAGAAACCATTGAGTCCCGTCCTGTCATCTTGCAGGTGAGAGAAATGAGTCAGGAAGTATCTGAGGCAAGATTTGAACCTGGGTCTTCCCTATCCACAGTGCCCCCCCGCCTCTCAAGTCTATTTCCTTCTCTAACCCTCCCCTCAGGAGAGAACAGCACAGCAGGTAGCAGCACTCAGCAAAGCAGGGGAAGGAGGTGGAGGTAACTGAGTAAAAGACATGGCCAACCCGTCATTGCGTGAGTGGCCATCTGGACCCCACCTCAAATATGACCTGAAGATAACAGCCTCAAAGATTGGATGCCAAGGAGTTAGACCTATTGGTCTCTTTAAGGACTTAGGCCAGAGGTTAGCCTGCTCAGGGGTCATTGTAGACCCTGGGCTCCCCCCTCCCCTAATTTCTACTTTGGAGTTAAATGGTACCAAATCTGCGCTGGCAGGCTCACTCCTTTTTTTGTGCCAGCCATGCTCAGAATATTCCTGTGGGAGGAAGGGAGGAGAGGTGGTAACTCATCAGAATTCTCATCCATTAAATTAAATTAAGTGCCCACTCCAGGCCAGGTGCTGTGCTAGGGATGAGATGACGCGCACAGTGACAGGACTTTACGAGGAACCAGAGAATTGGCAAAATGTCTTACATACATCATCTCATTTGGTCCCTACAGTGTGAGCTAGGTGCTATTATTACCCCCATGTTACAGATGTGTTACCTGAGGCCCAGGAAGGGGCAGTCACTTCTCCAAAGTCACACAGCCAGTAAATATCAGAGCCGGGATTCAAACCTGATTCATTGTTCCTGACTCTGCTTTTAGCACACACGGTCGTCCAACACACCTCCCTCCTACAGGCAGATGAAAAGCAGCCCCTCACCCGCCCTCAAGGGCAGTCTTCTAGAGATCCCATGAATCCTCGCATGTCCTCCCGCTGTCCAGCTGAGCTGTCTTCTTAGCTGAAGGACCTTCTAAGCCCTTGCCAAGAGGACTAAGAGCATACACTGGGCTGGCCCTGAGTGCTCCCCGTAAGTGACGGTGATTCACAAGCCAGGCGTTGTGTTGGTGTGTCTAAAACCAATTAGTCATTTACAAAAGCTGCTGCCAACATAGGGGTTGGAGTGCGGTTGGACGTGAGGTTCTTCCTGTGCTTGTCATTTTAGTGACAGTATTTCACAGATTGGCAGATGTCTTAGTTCCTGCCAAGCAGGTACCTCGGGATCTTGGGATCATTGATTTAGAGCTAGAAGAGATCGGAAAGGCCCTCTCATTGTCCCAGCCCCTTCATCTGACAAATAAGGGAAACTGAGGCCCAGAGAGGTTGATAACTTGCCCCAAGGTCCCACAGGTAGGTAAGAGGTGGCATAGTTGGAGCAATGCTCTCTGACTCTCCAAGGCTCTCATCTAGACCTTTCTTACTCCTGTCTTGGAAATATAGTGAAGAATTTGGTATAATTCCAACACTGGGCATCTTTGGGTGCTAAATCAGCAGGACCCCGCTGCAGCTTTCATACCATTAGAAGACTGGGAGACATCAGAGATTACATATGGCAGAATCCCTTTGTTTTCCAAGCTGATATTGCCACCAGGGGACTGGGAGCCCTTTCCATGTGGTAGATGTCCGCCGTCTTGGTGAATGTGTGATCCACACACTGGGTTATTAAGAACTAACTCACTTTAGTAGGATATTGGTCCTAGTATGACACATTGAAAAGCAGGAAGCTACAAGCTTTGAATTACTATTTGTGGTGGATTCTCTTCAAGAAAAGGGGTCCGAATTTGAGACCTGATTAAAATGCTGCCATTTAAAGATCTTTTTCCTCCCTGGGCATGTTTAATTCTTTGTTGAACAGTGATTACAGGTGCTGTGTCATTACATTTTTAATTTAATTTAATTTTTTTCACTTAACAGATTAAAGATCTAACAAGCTGTTCCCCTCCTCCTCTTACCCCCAAAGATTAACTTCCCAAGAACTATCTGACTAATAGCTGTCTTTTAGTTTAATCTCTCACTTTGGTTTCCTAATTATGGCATGGTTTCCACAGGACTCTCTAGCTGAAGTCGAGGAGAAATACAAGAAGGCCATGGTTTCCAATGCCCAGTTAGACAACGAAAAGACGAACTTCATGTACCAGGTGGACACCCTAAAGGATGCGTTGTTGGAACTGGAAGAGCAATTGGTTGAATCTCGAAGACAGTATGAAGAAAAAAACAAAGTAAGTGAGGTGCCGTCTTCTACAGCTGGACTGTTGGACCCCAGCGGCCTCTTGGAAAAAGAGAAAAGGGGAGAGGGAGAATGGGATCAGCTTGGATTGAGTTTTAGAGCCCAGGGCTAAGTCGTGGTGATCTGTTCTAAAAATCAAACCCCTTGGGTCCCTGGCCCTGCCCCTTTCTCCTCCCCCCAACCCAACTGAACACAGAGATTTCTGGGAAGTGCTTTCATTGACACTTAAATCCAAATCAGATTTTTCCACGAGAAGATTACAGAATCTTTTTGTAATCATGACATTATTTTTCAATGGCAAATAGGACGCTTTCTTATGGCATTTCCTTCCTTTTCTTTTATCACATTGTTATAAGACAATGTTCTTAGAATACAAACTTTATATATCTTAGAATACAAACTTTAGTGGGGGAGCAAACTTTTAAAAACTTAGACCCTTCACTCATTGAGTGGTGGAGGAGAAGAGTACCCAGTGCCGAACATGGCAGAGAGGTCCCAGAGGCATGCAGCCAGCTGAGAGATGAGACATGTCAGAGCTGAGCTCTCCTTAAGTGGGGGTTTGGGGTTCGTGGTCCTGCCCTCCAATGAAAGGGGCAGAGGGGAGTGATGGGGTGGGGACTTGTCCCAGGGCTGATGAGATTTTACAGAGTGATGAGATGCTTCACTTTTTGTAAAGCGCTTTTGTCACAATAACTCCATGAAGGAATCATTCAGCCAGTGCCTTTTAAGCACCTACTGTGTGCCGGGCCTTGGGGCTGCTAAGAAAAAAGCAGGAAGGACCGCAGCCAGAACAATCCCAGCTTCGGAGGCTTCACCTTCCTCTCTCCTTGTATTTGTCCTTTACAGGAGTTCGAAAGGCAGAAGCATGCCCACAGCGTGTTACAATTTCAATTTGCTGAAGCAAAAGAGGCCTTAAAGCAAAGAGAGGAGATGCTCGCGGTAAGTGGCTCAGCGCATGCCCCTTTTTGCTCCAACGCCGGTCAGCCTGGAAGGGCCACGGACAGCAGCAACAGCGAAGGTTTGGGGAGAATCAAAGAGTTTGGACTCATTCCAAGCCCCCCCCACAGGCTTCCCTGAAAGAGACCCCTGGGTTTGGGGTTTGGTTTTTAAATAAGTTCTTACTGATATCTGTGATAATCATTTATTATTGATCATTTTATTTTTGATTAATTTTGGCTTTACATCGCTCAGATTTCCCCCTTTATCAGGATGCCAGTTTTTTAACAGGTAAATGTTCCCAAGTTTCTCAAGGGTGACAGTGAAGGAATTAGCCTGCAGACCAAGCAGCTGTTGCTTCCTGCCGGGGAGGAGGAAGATGGGGAGAGCGGTGGATGGGGCCATGCCCGCCTCCCTGGCCCAGAGTGAGCCCAGAGCAGGCACTTTGCAAAGTCTTCTTGAATTGAGCAACCTTACCCTGGGCTGCTAGAAGACAGGGTCTCCCTATCTCACCCAGGTCGGAAGTACAGCAGTCACTTGAGGTCCGAGACCACTGCTGCTCCATTTCTGACATGGGCCTCCTCAGGCAACCTAGTGGCCCACCATTCCCATGGGCTCACCTTCTGAAGGTAGATTTGGTGCAGGCCCCTGACTGGCTCAGCCCATTGCAGCTCAGAACTCGCTTGGTCAAGAAATCTTCCAGCCTCAGCCTCCCCAGCAATGGAGAAATCAGATTAGAGTGGAGGGCCCCTTTCCCTGGCTAGTGGCAAGGACCCGCTGCTAACCCGACGCGTGACATCTGGAAGGACTTTCTCTCTCCTTCTCCCCTGGGTCCCCCGGGGCAGGATCCCCCGCCGGAGCCCTTGGTCTTTTTTCTGCCTGTTTAACCCGTGATCTGCTTTCTGTCTTCTCTGCTCCTGTCCCTCAGGAAATCCGACAACTGCAGCAGAAGCAGGAGAGTTATATCAGGGAGATTTCTGATCTTCAGGAAACAATAGAATGGAAAGACAAAAAGATAGGGGTAGGAACCTCTCAGATCTTTGGGAATGTGTGTGAACAAACCGCCTGCTTGCCCAACATGTAAAACAAAATTGGCTTTCCATCAAAGGGAGCGTGTGTGGGCCCATGCATTGAGTCTGTGGTACTCCATGGTTAGGGCTCTGTGCAGGAATGACCTTCCCAGAGTTAACCTGTAATTCAAAATCTGAGGGGACTTCAGGAAAGCATTGAAGGCAAAGATTGATTGACTTGGTGTGGTGGAAGGAGCCTGGGATTCGGAGTCAGAGGACCTGGGTTTAAATCTGCTTCCCCCACTGGGCCTCAGTTTCCTTTTCTGCAAAATGAAGGAGCTGGGCTGGCTGGCCTCTAAGGAACCTTCCAGCTTTATGTCTAAGTTCCCAAGGTCTGTAAAGTGCTGTGCTGTGACTACCACATCACCGGATTACCAACACCCACGTGGTTATCAGTAAAGAGAACACATTCTAGACAGCTGCTGTCTAGGGTGGGGTGAGCTCTGTCCCCAAGGGCATGGGGGCTGCCTCAAGTGGGTGGGAGCTCCCCATCCCTGGAAGCATCCAAGCCTGGCCATTTGTTGGGGGTGAAGGTCAGAAGCCATTTTTTCAGGCATGGGTTGAATTAGCCAGCTCCCAAGGTCCCTTCCAGCACGGAAATTCTGAGATTCTCTTCTCCACATTTCTTTTGCTTTTGCATCACACCAGCTGATAATAACAGCAGTAATAATAATAATAGCTAACGTTTATAGCCATTAATTTATAGCTGTAACTTTAAATGAGCTTTGTAGCTATTCGTTAATAGCACTTTAAGATTTGTAACATGTTCTGCTTGTTATCACAGTTGACCAAGTTAGATCTTAACATATATGGAAAAGAGGTATGGGGACAAAGCCCTACAGACCACCATCTTCCCCTCCAAAAGCTCGTGCTCGGGAGGAAGGCGATGCTGCCTGGGGGCTACGGGAGGATCTCCAAGACTTAGCCATCAGCACGGTTGGTCCCCCCAGGGACTCCAGTTGGTAGACGCTGCCTGTATAATTATACCCATTTTACAGATGAGTCCCCAGGAGCAGAGAGATGGAGGGATTTGTCCAGGGTCACACCCCTGACTCGGGAGTCCAGTGTTCTTTCCCCTTGCTGCAAGACAAGTCTGGGTGAATGTGGCAACCTGCCGTGTAACCCTTAATAAACCCTCACAGGCAGCTGGGCATTGGGTCATTATCTGACTGGCCTTCACTCACACATTCAGTAACTCGCCCAAGGAGCTGTTGTGCTTTGGGTTCTGTGGCATGACGGAGACAGAGCTAGGCTCAGCCAGTGCAGGTCCTGGATTTATGTCTTGCCTCTGGCACAGATTAGCGGTGTGACCCGGGATAAGTCACCTCACCACTCAGTGCCCCTCAACAGCCCGCTAAGATGGGAAGGTGCTAAGCAGGGGCCAGACTGCATTGTAGAGGGAGTTTCCTCACTGGAGGTCCCAAAAGCAAAGAGAAAACAAGTCGAGTCCGGACCAAAATCAAACCATCGATAACAACAATGATAATAACACACAGATACACACCTATAGGGCATGTGAAAACTGGAGACAGGCGGTCCCAAAAGTTCTGGTGCAGTTAAGCCTTAATGCCATCAAACTCAACTAAGACTTTTGGGACGTAGATGGAGCGATCAATCATGGATAAATGGGTAAATCGATGGAAAGATGGCGGATAATATCTGTTTGTACCTATATACATCGTTGATAGGTAAAAAGAGAAAAAGATAGATGATACGTAGCTAGAGAGAGATGATGGATAAGAAGGTTAAAGAGATAGAGAAATAATGTGTCTGTGCACATAGATAGACATCGTATGGGATGCTTGAGAGAGGCTTCCCAAGTCAGCGTCACACCTAAATACATGAATCTTCCAGAAGACTAGCTCCCAAATGCATCTTCCTTCCAAGGATCGTGTTTTTAAACACATGAAATGGGTAGGATTACAAAAGAAGCCAGATGTATCAAAATCTAGCTATCAAAACACCTTTCTTTTTTTTAAAGTTCCCACATCACAGGTGGAGAGCCCCCACCAACAGCCGTCCTGCTCTTATTGGCCACGTAGCGAGGTCTGCGACTTCCATCATCTCTCATCCCCAGGCTATGGAGAAAGCCATGGTGTTTCAGTGAGCCGGCCAGTGTTAGGGGTAGGGAACTTCTGGGTGAGGAAACTCTCTCTACCAATGCAGATTGACACCTTCCCTGCAATGTTGATCATAGTCTTAGAGAATAGCCTAGAGCACGAAGATTAAGTGACCTGCTCAAGGTCACACAGCCAGCGTGTGTCAGAGGCTGGATTTGAACTCAGGACTTCTTGACTTTGAAGCCAGATCACTATCCCCTGCACCAGTCTTCCCCTAGCCCAAGGTAAAAATGATAGAGAGATGTGTCCTCTGTTCCCCGTGTTCCTGAGGAGGACCACCTCGGCTCCAGAAATGTAGGCATCTGCACCTTCTCCAATACTTTCCCACCTCTGCCTTACCTAGATTGGATACCGTGTTTGACTGGATCTGTGTTTCTCGCCTGTCCTGTCTAGTACCTCAGTACTTAAGACTCTCTTGGTCTCCTCTCCCTAATGTTTCTGAAATCTTCTCTGCTTGTCTCTACCTTCCTCCTACGTCTCTGCCTCCTCTCTGGGTGCCTGCTACTGCCTCAGGCGTTAGAGAGGCAGAAGGAATACTTTGATTCCATCCGGAGTGAGCGAGACGAGCTTCGGGCCGAAGCAATCCTGCTGAAGGAGGAGCTGAAGGTACGGAGCCCAGAGCAGCAGCCGAGGGCCTGACTCGCCCTGGGGAGGGCCGCCACCCAGGGGCTCGCGAAGCTCCCGTGTTTTGGGGCAAGCCGATTCTTGAGGTCAGCTAAGACCGAGAAGCCCATGGTGGCCTCTCTGCAGTCAGTGTTGATGTGGAACCTTCCATGCTTGGAGATTTGTAAACTGCCAGTCATTTTCATTTCCAAAGGTTTTGTAGGATGGTTATCTATGAAATAAAGGGGTGGGACTTGATGGTCCCTCCCAGCTCAGCTGGTGGCACAGCGGGCAGCGTGCTGGGCCTGGCATCAGGAATACCCGCGTTCAAATCTGGCCCCAGATGCTTACTAGCTGTGTGACCCTGGGCAAGTCACTTAACCTTTGTCTGCCTCAGTTTCCTCAGCTATAAAATGAGGAATCGTAACAGCACCTACCTCCCAGGGTTGTTCTGAGAAGCAAATGAGATAATTGTAAAGTGCTCAGCACAGTGCCTGGCACATACTAGGTGCTGTTACTGTTCCGTCATTTCAGTCCTGCAAACTCTCCATGACCCCATTCTTGGCCATTTCCTTCTCCAGCTCATTTGACAGATGAGGAAACTGAGGCAAACAGGGTGAAGTGACTTGCCCAGGGTCACGTGGCTGCTAGTAAGTGTCTGAGGCTAGATTTGAATTCCGGAAGATGAGGCTTCCTGACTCCAGGCCCAGCACTCTGTGCACTATGGCACCATCTAGTTGCCTGTAGTAGGTGCTATGGAAATGCTTAGTCCCTTCTCCTTCCCTTGCTCTTGTAAACGTGCTGTCACCATCCTCTCACTCAGGCTAGCTTCTCACGCTGTTCTTTGGGACTCAGTTTGTCCCAGAACCGCTCTCCTTAGCCCACATTCAAGGCCTCTGACAATCTGGCACCATGCTGCCTTCTTAGATTTACCCCCTCTTGCCTCTCTCAGGCTGCTCCCTTCCAAGTACCTAAACTGTGCAGCTCACTCCCCTGAAATGCCCTGAAATTTCCAGCCTACATGCCCTTGCTCACACTGTGCCCTGTGCCTAGAATTGCACTCCCCACTTCTTTCTCTTGTTGAATTCCATCTTATCTTTTGGAGCCTAATATGTATACATTGGTCATCAATTTTTATCATTAGTGTTATTGAAATATGGAGGATTGCCTATTTAAACAAATTTAGAGCCTAGGATCCAGCTTTATGGAATGGACTAACATGCCTGGTTGTTTCACGTAAGCTGACATCTCCGATTTAGGGAACTTTCAGTGTGGGGTTGTATTAGTTTGCCCAACTGGGCTAAAACCAATCACATAAAATGAGTGATCCCATGAATGAAGCAATCTTTAGCAACTTATGACTAAGTGACACCTATTGGCCAAGTGTGGTATTGCAACCCAGATCAAATAGACCTTGTAAATGCTCAAGCAAACAGAGGCATTGGGGGCTCAGTTATTGGCACTTTGCCTGTCTAATTGGAGAGATTCCACAGCACAAGCAAAGTACCTATGATGGGGATAAAGGGATGGGTGCATGAAAATGGAGGCAAGATCCTGTCATTGGAAAAATACAGCAGTTCTGAAAATGACTGAGAGCCCTTCCACAGAAGGCAAAGTCCCACTCACATAGGGCCTTGCTTGTGTAGAGACGTGCCACCATCTTGAATTCTTTCTTTTAGGAGTTGAGGACTGGGCTAGTTGGTATGGGTTTTTAAATACAACTACATCCCCATTAGCGTGAATACTGAATCCCCTGAATTGGTCATATGTATTCAAATTTGAACATTTCAGACTTGAAAGTATATAAAATATGGCCATTGGTCCCAGACCAATGGAAACATGCAGTAAAAATTCAAATAATATGACCATTTCAGGGAATTTGTTATTCCCACTTGATGGGACCTTTTCAGTAGTGGATGGTGATAGAGAAGTAAATTCACTTTATATCAATTTTCTTGGTAGCAAGATTTACCAAAATATAATTAATTCCATATGTAGAGGGATACCTTATTGTCAACAATACCTCACGGGCATGATTAGACCTGGCTTGAAGGAGTAAAGTCAGATGGAATGCATCTAATTGGCAGATACATATAAAGGGACCACATCTTAGAACAGTTTGCAAATGCTAATAGAATTTTTTTTGTTCATTTCAAGGTGTTTTACCATAACCAACCCCTTTGTATAAGCAGTGTGTTTAGACAGCACCATCCTCAGGTTTTTCTAGAATAGACTGATTAATATTACTTAGTGAATATTACAGTGATCCTGTCTTGTCCACAGAAACATGGAATAATCCTGAATTCTGAAATCACCACCAATGGAGAGCCTCTGGATAATCTAAGTAACATGAGCCACCTGGGATCTCCCAAGGTGTTGCAACAGGAAACAAATGTCATAAAGTCATCCAGTGATGGGACACTTGGTAAGAACTTGCTGCCTCCTGGGCCCGTTCCTTTTTCTGGTCCTCATTTCTTCACTTTCTATGCTTGATTGGAATTGAAGCCATCCCTCATCGCTTGATCAGTTCACTAATCACACCGCATGCCACCATGTTCTGTCACTTCCTATGCACTCTGCCGCTAAATGGTTCTGATTACCTGCATATGTTGTCGTGCAAATTTTTTCACTAGCAATCATGGATGGCCTCGGTGTACATTTTCCTTGTTCCTCGACCCAGTCAACTCAAGCCAGTCAAATAAGTCTGGGAAGCAAGGGACCAAAACTTCCAGACAAAAGTACAGTTGAATATAGACATCTCTAACATCTAAGTTTTCTTTGACTAACTTATCTCTAGTTCATAGAGGAATAGTGAACAGTCTGATGATGATAGAAGCAATGGACAAGATTTTCTCATCTAAAATGCTAGTTAGAGTAGAATGCATTGTGAGAGTCTGAGATATTGCTTAATCAGTCAGGTCCAGTAAAGAATACTTGACCATTCAAAAATATATATATGTAGGTGATCCCAAAGGTCCTGGCTAGCAACGACATTTTGTGACTGTGACTCTGGGTTTCCAAAAGCACCATGGAGCCAGTACACTTACTATACTATTCAGACGTGGCAGTTGGATGCCTGCATGCAGCATTCTTCCTTCTTTGCCAGAATTGACATTATTATACCCAGGATGCTTTACCTTCTGAAAGAAGTGTGGGAGAGGGAATCTAGGAGGCCATGAGAGCTTAGCACAATTTATTCACTCTGAGGCAATTGGGTGACTCATGTTCTCCATTGGTCACAAACTGATCTCAGTTGTCTCTCCTGAACGTATATGCTACTTTGAGAGTATGTGCTAAATTGTGAATTGGCCTTCAGAAGGTAGCAGGTGCTGGAATATGCAACCTAGATGAGTCCTCACCAGACACTAGTTATTGACATTTTTATGGAGGCTGAATAATCATATTATGGCAAACCATTTTGAGACAGCCAGCTAGCACAGCGAGGTGGTATCTAACTCATAGAAACAGGGACCACTGAACCATAAAAAAGATCACTGCAGGCTGCCTATTGATTTCATTTTCAAATGTAGTATTACCTATATTTAGTTTTATTTATTTTGTTAAATATTCCCCAATTATGTCTTAATCTCATTCTGGCCACATGTGGGAATGTTGCAGGCCATGTATTTGACATCTCTGGCATAGTGGATAAAGCACTGAACTTGGAGTAAGACCCAAGTTCAGATCCTGCTTAAGATACTTAACTGTGTGCCCCTGGGCAAGTCACCTAACTCCTCTGTGCCTCAGTTTCCTCATCTGTAAAAATGAGGGGACTGTACTCCATGACCTATAAGGTCCATTTCATCTCTAAATCTGTGATCCTGTCATTTTAATTTTCCACTTGGTAGCTTTCATCTCCTTTCTGTTTCAATTTTGGAAGCGTAGAAGCCCAAAGACAAAAGAATGTAGATTCTAAGCATGTGTCCACCTGGAAAGAAAATAATCTGGAGTTTCTGGTTTTTTGGAGAAGATAGAAATTATTGAAGGCAACTAAGAAGCTGGCTTCCCACCTCCCTTGAAGGCTATTGACTGTTCAGGGGAGAAGCAGGCCAGCTGCTGTCTGGTCCAAAAGTGCATTTTATGAATCTCTAACTGCAGGTAACTTGCTGACTCATTAGAAAAACCTGCAGGCTCGGTGATCAGAGGAGCACTTGATTCTCAGACTTTAAGCATCCTTGTGTTTTTAAGAATTTGGTTCATTTGTCTTTTCAAAGCCTCCAAGAATGAATGCCGCACCATTCCTCTTAAAGGCAGGAGTGTGGGGCTTGGAGGCCTCGGTCTGTTTCCTGACAAGTCCCCTTTATTGTAAATGAACTGGCAGAGTACCCCAGATGTAGCTTTCCCAGTCCTCCATTCTCCTTCCCCTTTCCTTATATAATAAAGCCAAATATTTGAGAACAGAAATTAAGGGGAAAAAAAAAAACAAAAAGTGGTTGAAGACAGAATAATCTCTATGTACTTTAATAGGATGGTTGATGAATGCCATTTTAACCAGGATAGATTTTTAAGGCTGAAATTTCTTGCAGGAGGCTGAAGGATTTTAGGGGGGAACTTCAGAGAATTTCTTAGAATCTGTATTCTAGGCAATGCACTTGGCCCCCAACAAAATCAAAGAGTTTTCATTAAGCATAGAGTCTAGAAATAAGCAAGGCAGAGTTAATGTCCAAACTTGACCATCAAGTCCATTCCTGAATCTGATTGTTGGGGAGGACGTCGGGCTGCCTGCTCCAAAGCTTGTTTTAATTGTGAAAACCTGAACTTGACTTTCAAAGGCCAAGTGCCACAGAGCCCCTGTTGTCTTTCAGCTGGTGGCGGGCTTCCCTGTCCAAATGGTTTACTAATTCAGTCGCTGCTTTGCCTCACAGAATTGGCAAAAGCTGATGATCTCTTATTAACTGGAATTCCTTGATGATTCTCTCTCCTTGGGAACGGGGTTTGGGTGAGAGTTAACCTATGTTTTATGCTTTTGAATCGATAGTTAAGTGGTTGCCACATCATGTGGTCCCTTCAATTTTTTCAATGGTCTTTTAGGAAGAGCCAGTGAAGTGGAGGTGGCCAGTGAGAATGTGGACAAAGTGGGGGAGCGTGAGCAGCCCCAGGCGGATTCTGCAGAGGCAGGTGTGGATACAAAGGCCTTACCTCCTGATGGGAATGCAGAGGCAGAAACCCCCTCGCAAGACCATGCCATGGTGACAGAAACATTAGCCAACGATCCAGCCCATGTGCCAGAAACTCATTCTGTCCCTGAAAATACCAACGAGCAGGTTGAACCCAGTGAGGGTGGAGACAGCCTGGGGGCTAGCGTAGAACCCAATCACCTCAGTGAATTAGAGAGTGATAATATCGATCAGAATCAGGAACCTGCAGGGAGCCCTCATTTTCCAGGTGATGTGATTAGCCAGGACAGGCGCAGTCCCTTAGATACTCAAAATGAAAAGAAAGAATTAGTAGAAAAGCATGAAGAGGGTAGCAGGAAATTATCTCAGGATACCGAAAGAATAGATACAGTGAAACTAAGTGAGAATCATTCCGAAAGCTTGCTCGAAGGGATGGAAGCCAAAGACAGGACGCAGGGAGACACAGAAGTGGACAGCAGAAGGACTGAAGATGAAGCAGTTAGTGGAGATGAAAAAGGTGCAAGTCTCATGAAAGGGGAACAAAATAAGGAGGAGGAGCGCGAGTTCATAAAGGGGGAGCAAATCCAGACAATCCCATCTTCAGAAGTAAAGGGCAGCCAGCCAGAAAAAGTGGGCAAGAGGGTCACGACTGGTGAAAATGAATGCTCAGATCAGAATGTGCCCACAACAGAAAGAGATGGCCAGAAACGGGAGATATGTGACTCCTCTTCCAAAAAGTCCAAGAACAAGAAGAAGAAAAACAAGAAGAAAAAGTCACCCCCCGTAGGTTCTTCCGACGACGTTAAGAAAGAGTTGGTCTTCCAAAACACAGAGGAGGAGGAGGACGAGGAAGAGGAGGAAGTGAAGTTCGAAGCCAAGAATCAAGCCCAAGACACCCTTGGCAAGGTGGTCCAAGAGGAGAAGCCAGAACCAAGAACCGATCTCGACAAATATGTGGATTGTCCAGAGGAAGCCAAAGCTGAATTAGATGACAAACCAAATCAGCAAGTTGGTAAAGCGGAGACTCCTGAAAGAGCCGTAGCTGATGACAGCAAAGTATCTGAGCTCGACAGTGATGCAGCCCATCCAGCGGGTGGAAAGGGAGAGGTCAGTCCCTCAGAGGTTGCTGAGGCTGGAAGCATAGAAGAAGAGTCCGTCCCCGCCCAGAAAGCAACGGAGCAAAGCCAGATGTCCAAACCAGAGAATAAAGAAGCAGTGGGCAGTGGCCCCCAAAATGAAGATGCGTCATCATCCCCTAATGATAGTTCTCCCACCGAGAGTATGGAGGAAAACTGTGAGCAGTCAGATGAGCACCTGGAGACAGCTGAGGAAGCGTTAGAAAGCAGTAGCCCAGACAGTGATGAGCACGAAGACCCCGTGGGCAACCTCAAGGCAGAGAGCAAAGAGGACACCAAGGGTAGGACCGGTAAGGGGAAAGATAGAAATAAAGAAGAATGCACTATGTCATGAGTCAAGGCAGGAGGCTCACAGCTGCTGGTGTAGTGTAGACAGCTAGAAGGGAGAGAGGCACTCTGCAGAATCAGTCTTATTATAGGAACACTTAGGGGTTTTCTCTCCTGGTGACAACTCTAGAGTCTAGGTCGGTCTGTATGCACTGTGTGGCAATCAGTGACTGAATCACTCACTACTCTCAGTCACACAGATCTCTGTAGGTGCCTATGTAGTCTCTTGTCAGCTTCAGTCAATCATTGTGTTTGCCATCTAGATTTTTAAAGAGAGGGCATGGCTCTTATTACTATGAGCTCAGGTTGAAAGAATGACCAGAGCACCAGATAACTACTATTAATGTTCATTGCTTTAGTTTCCAGTTCAAAGTCAAGGTGGCCTCAGTGCCTTTCCTTTCTGCTCTAAGCCTGTAGACGCATATGGCTGTGATTGGCCACTTGTGGCGCCGTTTTATTGTCTCACCCTAACCTGTAACTGATTGATCCTCACACGGGTTTGTCTCTGATTCCAATGCCTTCTATTTATCATTCTCAGTATATTTATCTTAATGGGCACATTGTGACAGATACCACAGATGATTTCAAGGCAGTTAGCTGCCAAATAATATTTAGGTCACTGTGTGATGAAGTTTATGCCTTCTGGAAATGAAAGTTCATTTAGACAATGAAGTTTTGATGCCTTCAACACCTGGAGGAGTCTTGAGGTCAGATTACACCTGGACCTGCTGGTCTAGGCACTTCACCCTAGATCAAGCCTTGGGGGCCATATTACCAATCATTCCTTGATATATAGATATATTTTTGTTTGTTTGTTTGGGGGGGATTATTTCATTTTATGTGCACATTACCTATCTGATATATTTTACATACAACGCTATTGAGATGGATGTTTTCTTTTCCTTAAAAAAAATAGATATTTGTTTAAATTTATTTCCTAGTACTTTTAATTTCTAGCAAGAGCACACTTTTGAAATGATAGCTTACCTTGAAAATACCCTTTATCCTTTTGGCTAATCCTCCTTGAGTGTCTAACCTTCATTAACAAGTGCTATACCAAAAGTTATAACCATCACTGTGCAGATTCCTAATTCCTAATGGGCAAGAGACGGTGTAGACAGTGGACTCATTTTTCACTGCCACCTGCACCATCAACCCAGTTTGGCTGGTACGTTCTGAATTTGGTCTGCACACAGGCCACTCCCTGGGTGTTTGCTGCATAATGAAATGTTCTCTTTAAATGTGTTTGAATATTGAAATTAAAGTGTACTCATCCATGAATGTCATTGCCATATATCTAGACATGTTATGTGGTTTTTATAGCTGTTACAAAATCATTGAATACAACCAGACCAAAGTTTTATCAACATTTGAGGTGTATATGATAAATGTTGTATATAATTGAAATAAAGGCATTTTATCATTTTAAAAGGCTGTGATGCACAATCTTTGTAACATGCACAATCCCTCTAGGACTAACTCATATTTGCTTCCGTGCTTCCGCTGTCTCCTCCCTCATTCACTTATTGTCTTCATTAAAAATAGACGCATTTGGAAGCTGATTCCTTTCAGCCCCTTCCTGTTTTGTGGATGTGCCGTGACAAGGAAGGTGATTGTGGCTGTTCAAGTGGTTTGGGGTTTTTAGTCTCTATTTCAAATGGTCTAATGTACGTGAAAGTACTTTGTAAACTGTAAGCATTATACAGACATGTGTTACTTCATAGCTTCCAGGGGAGGATTTTGAGGAAACTGGTAAGAAGGAAGAGGAATCTGGGTCTCTTCCCAGTGTCAAAATGGGAGAAACAGTGGATTGGCATAAACAGACCCATGGGACTGTGAAAGGATCTCGAAGGGCCATGAGTGGACCTGCCTGACTTTTGGGGAGATAGCTACATTTGGGCCATTCCTAGAAAGCAATCCCACTTATCTTTTAGGGGTTCCCTTCTCCTCCTTTTTTAAAATTTTATTGATGTGCTTTGTTTTTATGTTACAAACATTTACAGATTATCGCTGCTCCATGACAGGTTTCTTGTGATGAGGTAAAACTAACATTATAGTGACCTCATCTGAAAGTGTGTGCAATATTCCACATCTGTAAGCACCTTCCCATCTCTCTATTTTTTAATCATTTCATTAATTTATAGAAATTATTTTCTCTTCCTCCCACTGGCCCCCACCTCATTGAAAGAAAAACTGTCCCCCATTGGATATATACAATAATACATACGTGTCTCATTCTGCACCCCAAATCTGTCATCTCTCTGTCAGGAGATGGATAGTATGTTTCATCATCATCGTTCTGGAATCATTGACCTGTCAATGGATATGGCTATTCTAGATGGCAGTTTGGAATTGCGCACAAAAAATTACTTAAACAATGCATGCCCTTTGACCCAACTACTGGCCTGTATCCAAAAGAGATAAATAAGTAGCAAAAGGATTTATATGTACAAAAATATTTTTGTGGGCACCAAAAAAACCAAACTGGAAACCAAAGACATGCCCATCAGATGGGGAATGACTTTACAAACTGCAGTGCATGAATGTGATAAAATCCTACTGTGCCCTGAGAAATGAGCAAATAGGTGATTTCAAAGAGACATGGAAAGGCTTAGATGAACTGATGCAGAATGAAGGGAATAGAACCGGCAAAACAATTATTACTATAACATCAATATTAACAGTTTTGAAGACTTTTATAAATTGATGGAGGACAGAACTGGGAAGACAATTTATACACTAACAATAACCCTGTGAAAACAAACCATTTTAAAAGTGCAGTTGATCAATGCAGTGACCACCCATGAGTCCAGAGGATAGATGATGAAACATCCTACCTACCTCCTGACAGAGAGGTCGGAGATTTAAGGGGATTTCCAAGAATGCCATTCATTCATTGATTCATTCATTCACTCACTCATTCATCTAATGTGCATATATGAAATGCATACCACATTCAAGGCCTTTTGCTAAGTAAAGAAGGAGAATGGTTTCTGTTCTTCAAAGCTCTGTAGTTGAGGGGTAGTTTGATGTGGAGGGACTGGTCATACAAAATGACTTGTGAAAGATGAGTCAACTTTCAACAGAATGTGAGGAGTATAGCAGTCCAATCGTGGGGAAAAGCAGAAGCAGAGAGAGTGTCAGGAAGGCCCAATACAGCTTTGGGGAAAGGTCAGTAGTCCATTTGGCCAGGATACAGCAGGGCGTGTGAAGGGGGATATAGCATGAGATAAGACTGGAAAGATAGGAAGGAGTCCAATTACGGAGGACTCAGGTACCAAGCTGGGCATTTGGACCTGATTAGGGGACAGCAGAGACATCTCCATGGCATCTGAGCATCATGATGCATGAACAGTCTTAGGGTAGGAAGATTACTCCAGCCAGAGCAATTAGAGAAGACTGGAAAGGGGAGATTACCAAGGGCTGTTCCCATAGTCCAAGCAACAAGGAAGGACCTTAAACCAGAACCATCCATGGTAATGGAAATGGAAAGGAGGGGCCAGAAGCTAGTGAGGCAATGGGAAAAATCAAAAGGACGGGGCACATGACCATGATCCCAACACAAAGGTGAGAGAAAAGGAGTGAAAGGCGGCATCCATGAATCGTAGCATCTCCAAATGGGAAGGTCCCTTAGACACCATCAGTCAGATAATTAACTCAATCAAATGAGATTCTATTTGTAAAGCACTTAGCACAGTACCTGGCATACAGCAGGTGTTTAATAAATGTTTATTCCCTTCCCCTCTCCCATCCACTCCAACTTAGACCTTACTAAAAATCTCCTCTATCACATGCCTCTCAACAAGTAAATAAATTCCAGCACAGATAATTGACTGAATGATGGTGTGGTGAACAGAAATAGGGGAATCAGGAAGAAGAGCCCATCTGAGGAGGAGAGGAAGAGGTCAGTTTTGTGCAGGTGGTGACAGCAGGCAGGCAGGTAGCATTGGGAGCACAGAGCTCAGGTGCAGGCTTGAACAGAGAGATTCATGAGCTGTCCACCTCAAAATGATTTGTGATAGGCCTTAGGCAAGAGTTCTTGGGTGCGTGTGTGTAATTTATTTATATTCGGAAAACTGTATTTCTGCATGGGACCAAGGTCACAGGTGGGCTTTTTTTTTTTAATGGAAAAAGGTCACCCCTTCTCAGAGACAAGTAGTCTAAAGAGATATCAGAAATTTCTTTTTTTTTTTTTTTGGCTAGGCAATGGGGTTAAGTGACTTGCCCAGGGTCACACAGCTAGTGTCAAGTGTCTCGGGCCAGATTTGAACTCAGGTCCTCCTGACTCCAGGGCCAGAGCTCTATCCACTGCACCACCTAGCTGCCTCTGAGAAATTTCTTGATTAAAATCTAGGCATTGTGTGCAAAGTCCCAGCTGGAGACACTAACACTGTATGACCCTGAGTCATTTTGCCCTTGAGCCTCCATTTCCACATCCCCCAAATGAGGGGGTCAGACCTGCTCTCTCCAGTTCTGACACTCCCTGGATAATCCCGACTCATACAGAGAAGTGAAAACATGTCCCAGGTTTGGATTTTCTGTTTTTATTATCAACTCCGTCACTGGTGCTTCTTCATGACAGGCAAGAAGCCCCAGGTCCCATTCTCCCCATCCCCATCATACTAGTCTAACATACAAAAGATTTGACCAGATTTTACCTCTATTCCTTTACCTTTGTACTTGTGATCCTTCCTTGGGTCCCTGGCATTTTTTCTATCATCTAAAGATTCGCTAAACACTTCATATAAATTATCTCATGTGAACTCACAACCTTGGGATGTACCTGCTAATTATCTCCATTTTAATGGAGTCTCAGCTGAGACTCAGAAGAATTAAATCTTAGGCAGCATGGTATAAACAATCAGAAGAACTGAGTTCAAATCCTGACAGCAGCATACTTACTAGTAGTGTGATAATTTCACCTATATGAGCCTTCATTTCCTTTGCTGTAAAGTGAAGGAGTTGGGTTCCATAGCCTCTAAGGTCCCTTCCACCATGAAGTCTGTGACCTGTGATTCTACTATTTGTCCAGATCACATTTAGTATCACAGGCAGGAAACCAAGGTTGGCCATACTAATGCTTTCTCTTAGGTACCCTGGGCATGGAAAAAATTGTCCAAGATCTGCCGGGCCTCTCACCACCTTGTATATTGTAGGCACTTAATGTCTCGTGAACTTAATAGACTTGCAGGTTGAGGCAGAGCCCAATTTACACCCTTCCTCCAGAGACAGATGAGAGCTGGGTCATTATGCTCCATGACACCCAATGAATGTGTTCATTAGAGATTAAAGGGGAAGTGGAAAAACCCGTTGTGCCATCAATGCTTGGTGCTTGTCGCTAAATGGAGGGCAGTTTGAACAGTCCAGATGATGAATTAGCCAGAAGCCATTTATG